GATTTCCTTGATCAGCGAGAGCGCGCGCATAATACTTTTTGAAGAGGATGGGGGGGGGGGATGTCGGCCCCTTTGGGATGGTGCGACTTCGTATTTCGGATGGGCGACGGGGCAGAATCGTGCGCAGGGAAATCCTGTGCAAAAAAAACAATACGCGGAGGGGTGCCCGCTATCTTCCGCACGCCATCAGGGGATGGAGGAGAGTAGTATTCATATTGTGTAATTGTGAAGTAGGGCTGGCCAGGCCTCCCCCGTGGCTTCCCTGGTGGTCTCCTCAAGTCCGGCGGCAGTGCAAAAATAGACGACGTTGGTCGACGAGCTCTACGAGGGCTGCAATGCATCGCTGCCTCGTCATGGTCGCTCGCTGGCGTGTCGCAGCACTCGCGCAGTTCCCCCAATGCTAGCAGAGCCTGGCGCCATCACCATCCCAATTTTCCGCATCTGCCAGTGTATGATCCTTGGCATGCGTGCCTCTTGTTGTCTATCCAACGCCATCCACAGGCCCACAAGCCCATTGACCCGTTGCGTCGTTCACGCCCTCCATTAAGCTCCCACCAAACGGATCCAGCACGGCCTTAGATGGCCTTTGAAACGCCAAGATGGCGCGCAAGACGACCCAAGATCTGGCCCCACTGGCTTCAGATAGCTCCATAACCGTCCAAGGGGGGCCCTAGACGGACCCTCAGCGGTCACATGCGTTCTTGGCTCCCCTATACAGGACCTAACATCAGCCCCAGGACAGTCTTTCCCTCTGGCATGCCTCGGACCTCGGTTGCGTCAATGACCCGAGACAGCAAGGTCCACGACCACCTACGCAAGGGCATCCCTCGGGCACCGAGAAGGGAGCACCGGAATGAGATACCAAGGGGCTTGGCGACCCCAGACCCCGACTTAGTGGGACTTTCGATGGGCCGACTCATGTTGGGTCCATCTCGTAGATCTTCCATTTGGGGGCGTCCATCCTCGATAGGGGTGCGCCCGAGCCCGAATAGTCCCCTTCTGGTGTGTATAGGTATACCTATACGACCACCCTTCGGGTGATAAGAAGGTTGGTGGGTGGGGGGAAAGAAAAAACTGACGACAACTGCGATGGCTGTGATGATAACGATGCGCTCTCGAATTGGCGACGGCGCGTGGTGACGATGCTGCGCCGCGACGTGATCCCACTATCGATCTCACCACGGGACACCGACGGGACACCGACGGGACAGCGACCAGACACCAGCGGGACACCGACGGGACACCGACAGGACACTGACGGGGTACCAACGGGACACCGACGGGACACCGACGCGGCAGCGACGGGACAGCCACGGAACACCAACGGGACACCGAGGGGAAACCAGGGCGGGACAACCCGGCCACCGCCCGCCGATCGCGGGGGAGAGGCGGACAACGATGGGACGCCACGGCGGGACAACCTGGCCACCGCCCGCCCACCGGGGAGGGAGGAGGGGCGGTGAACGGCTCTTGGCCAGCCTTATCCACAGCGGAGTCATTGCTCTCGCCCGCCCACGTAGCTCCGCCTCACCCGCACGCACGACACGAACCCGAACCCGAAACCGATTTCCCAGTGGGGGGCTGTCCGTCCCACTTCGATCTCACCCCCCAACCTCCGATCGACACAAATCCATTACCCATCTCATGAATTTGGGGTTCTTGTTGTTACTTGGACGCCTCCGCTTCCAATCTCACTTCCGCCTCCTTCTCCCTTTCATCACAATCAGATCACACGTGCTTAGACTCACTCACACTCAGATGCGCTTACACTCAGATGCACCCACACCCAGACAACCGTACTCAGGATCAATCCCGCTCAGATCCACTGATAGCTCATTCACACTCAGTCAGATCTCACTTGCTCTGGCTCGCTCGCACTCAGACGCGCTCCCACCCAGAGTCAATACTCATACTCGCTCCCACTCAGACCCATTCGTACTCAGACTCGCACGTACCCAGACCCACTCATAAACACACCACCATCACCCATGTCCACTCTCACTTAAGCAAATCAGAATCGTACCCACACACATATCAGCCATACAGTGAGAGCCCCATGCTCGTCGCGACGTAGCAGGCGTGGCTTGTGAGCACTTGAACACCCCAGGGGAGGAGCCACCAAAAGGTCTTACATGTCCCCGATCGCGCCGAGAATGTGGGGACGTCTCAGGTGGTTTGCCTGTTCGGTTGATCAAACTTATTGACTTCCAGAGCCCATTCCCATCGCGACGTAGCAAGCGTAGCGTTGGAGCGCCCCAAGGAAGAGCCGCCAGGAGTGGGACATTTGCCCGTTCGCACCCAAGTTGTGGGGATGTCTCAGGCGGTTCGCCTGTTTGGTTGATCAAGCTTCTCTGTTTTCAGAGCCCCATGTTCACCGCGATGTATCAGGCGTGGCGCTTGAGCACCCCAAGGAGTAGACGCCAGAGGGGGAAAGATTTACCCGTGCGCGCCGAGATTTTGGGAAGGTTCGCCTGCTTGGTCGATCGGGCATCTATGCCTTCAGAGAGCCCCGTGCTCATCGTGATGTAGTCGTTTGAACACCCCATGGAGCCGCCAGGGGGCATTTTATTTGCCCGTACGGGCCCAAGTTGTGGGGATATCTATAAGAAGTTGTCCTGGTTGGTTGATGAGACCTCTTTGTTTTCAGAGCCCCATCCCCGTCGTGATGCGCCATGCGTGCCTCTTGAGCACCCCGAGGGGGAGCCGCCAGGGGTATGCAACTTGCCAAGTCGCGCCCAGATCGTGGGGATGCCTTAGGCGGTTTGCCTGTTTGGTTGATCGGAATTCTCTGTTTAGGAGCCCCATGCCCATCGTGATGCGCCAGGCATGCCATTTTAGCACCCCAGAGGGGGAACCGCCAGGGGGTACGCGATTTGCCCGGTCGCGGCCAGATGGTGGGGATGCCTCAGACGGTTTGCCTGTTTGGTTGATCAGACTTCTTCCTTCTCAAAGCGCCATGCCCGTCGCGATGATCAGGCGTGGCGTTTGAGGGCCCCAAGGGAGGAACCACCGGGGGGTCCGTTCGCGCCTAGACGGTGGAGCTGTCTCACGCGGTGTGCCTGTTTGGTAGATCAAACTGTGTTCCCTTTTCAGAATCCCATGCTCGGCGCGATGAAAACAAGCGTGGCGCTGGAGCGCCCCAGAGTCGCCAGTGGTGGGACAGTTGCCCGCTCGCGCACAAGATGTGGGGATGTCTCAAGCGGTTTGCCTGTTTGGTGGCTTCGACTTGGTGCGTTCAAATCAAAGCAGGCTGTGAGGACGTCTCGAGCGAGGGTCTGGCTTCAGCACTCCAAGGGTGAGCCGCCAAGGGGGGGACAATCGCCCGTTCGCGCCCACATTGTGGGGATGTCGATGTTTCGTTTGGTTTGCTTGTTTGATGGCTTGGACTTCGGTGCTGTCGTAGCAGATTGTGAGGGCGTCTCGGGCGAGGCGCTGGTTTTAGCAGCCCACGGAGGAGGCACCAAGGGGTATTTGATTTGCCCGTTCGCGCCGAGATTCTGGTGACGCCTTAGGCGTTTTGCTTGTTCGATGGCTTGGACGTCGGCGTTCCCAAAGCAAATTGAAGGAATGTCTCGAGCGTGGCGTTGGCTTCAGTACCCCGGGCGGCCAAATCGCGGGGATGTATCGAACGAGGCGTTCGGTTTTGCACCTCCGAGTGCTTTCTGCTCAGGGCAGCGTGAACACTTCTGTGCAAGGAGACGGACGGCCGCAAGGATGGAGGATGGAGGACGGAGGAGGACGCAGGAAGAGGAAGAAGGGAGGACGAGAAGAGAGAGGGTGCGACAAACTAGGTGCGCTGGAATCATATTTGACGTCCTACTCCTCCCTCCAATCCCTTACCATGGCGTAAATATCCTTTCTATTCGCACAGTCGGATGTCGAGCAGGGCAATGATCGCGAGAGGGTACGCGATGCATGGCAGAACACGGCGTGGCATGGCGTAGAAACGCACGGCAAACCATAACATGCCACAGCATGGCGTGGCAAAGCATGGCAACCCAATTCGGCGCGGAACACAACACCGCACAACACGTCATGGCATGGCGCCAGGCTCCTTGGAGGGTAAATTGATCGTCTTCGAGAGGTCTGGGCCGGTCTGGAGTCGTGGCTCCATGTCTAGCTCCTTAAGGGCTCCCCGAAAGTTCCACACAAGGCGGGGCTGATGGAGAGCACCCACTGGCCCTGCTTTCAACATCGCCCTCTCGAATCAGAACCGGGGCTCCCGCTTGATACTTCCAGAAAGCGACGATGCCCCAAAGTGGCCCAAAAATCAAACAATCGACGAATCGATACCGAATGTGGAATCATTTCCCATGGTTTTTCGGCGGAGCATTTTTTAGATTTTGGGGCCTATTAGGAAGGACCGAACACGCCCGCGCTGCAGCGGGAGCACGATTTGGAGCAACCAGAGGCGCAGAAATGGGGCCAACGCTTCAGCGGGAGCAGCATTTGAAACAAAACCAAACGAAAACACAACTCCCGGAATCTTGTGCGTAGCAAACAGAGCGCGCAGGGGGCCCGGACATCTCCTGGACGCCATCAGGAGAGAGAGGAGAGTGGCATTCATATTTTGAAATTGTGGAGGAGGAGGAGGAGGAGGAGGAGGGGGAGGAGGGGGAGGAGAAAGGGGAGGAGAGAAGAGTAGTATTCATATTGTGTAAGTCTCCGATGTGTAGATCTCACCGCCCGTCTCTCTGAATCGTCGTCGCCGCCGTTCCTCATCGTAGCCGCCGCCACCGCGCCGCCGTCGTCGTCGTCGTCGTCGTCGTCGACGCCGTCGTCGTCGTCATCGTCGCCGCATTTGTCGTCCACTCGGATTCGCTCTCACACCGAGACGCTCACGACCAGAAACTCATGGCGGGACGTGTCAAGGAATCACGCGCACGTATGGATATCACCGCGTCGAATGCTTCGTTCAAAATCAACCGACTTTGTTCGGGAGCGCGGGTGATCTGGGCGAGAAATCGCCCGCGAGGAAAAGCGGCAAGAGCAACGGCCACCTGCAAATTGCCGAAATTTTCGAACACGCCGAAAATGACCTGCACCGCGAGGGCGTTGACCAACTGCGGCCGCCAGCCGGCCGACGGAGCGGCGGGGCGGCGGGAATGCGGGACGCTGGCACGAAGGTCAGAGCCGAATGTCATAATGCGAGTGGCTCATAATGCGTTCCAGCAATTCCGAATTGTCTAGCGGCCCTCGTCTATGAAGTCCGCGCGACACCAAAAACCTGGACATGTTGGAACACATCACTTGCCAGACTTCTTGCTCCTCCGAGACACGTCTCTCAGTCAGGGTCGTGCGAGCAGCAAGGATGCTTGAATAAGAAAAAGACCCCTCGTCTCAGGTCCGCGGGAGTTCACCACCACCACCGCCACCAGGGGAGTACGAGGACTGCTGCTTCGTGGGGTGCATGTGCGCAAGGTGCTCCTCGAAAGCGCCCAAACACATGCCAACCGCCGCCCTGGACCTCACCAACGCACCCCCCTCCGGCGGCGGGACGGCCAAACGGCAACATCGAGGCATCAACCGATGAAGGGAAGGCACCAGCAGCTGAAGCCAGGGCGGGGAGAAGAACGGCGGAGGAGCAACGGGAAGCAGAGCCTGGCGGGGCGACCGAATCCGCGAACACCAAAGCTGTACGGTCCCTTCTTGACGGGAGGCCGACAGCTACGGCCGAAATATCGCCACAAGAACGTGGGTCATTACTCCGACGGTAGGACCCCACATGAGAATGTATTTGACTTGCCTGGGGATCTCCTCCTGCCCCCTCCCTTCTCCCACCTACTCCTTCTCCTCCTGCCTGCTCCTCCTCTTGCCTCAACCCCTGCCTCCTCCTCTTGCCTCCTCCACCGCCTCCTCCTCCTTTTTCCTCTCCCCTTAGCGCCGCGCACGCTCGTTTGAAACACTTGGAAAAAAACTTCACGGATTGAGGGCGGGTCGCTTTCAAAATGTGGCTGTCGCCTAAGCGTCGCGCACATTCGTTTTAAACATTTGCACCGGTCTCACGAATTGAGGACAGGTCGTTTTCAACATGTGGCTCTCGCCTTAGCGCCGCACACTTGGGTCGTTTTCAAAATGTGGCTCTCGCCTAAGCGCCGCGCGCGCGCTCGTTTGAAAAATGTGCAAGGGGCTCACGGATTGAGGGCGGGCCGTTCTCAAAATGTGGCTCTCGCCTTAGCGCCGCACACATTCGTTTGAACAGATGTGCAACAATTTCACGGACTGAAGACGGGTCGTTTTCAACATGTGGCTCTCGCCTTAGCGCCGCACGTATTCGTTTTAACAGTTCGCTAGAGTTTCACGAATTGAGGACGGGTCGTTTTCAAAAAGTGGCTCTCGCCTCAGCGCCGCGCGCACTCATTTTGAACATTTGGAAGAACTTTACGGATTCGATCAAGTCCCAGCGGTTACGCGCCGGAGGACGACCCCGAGGAAACGCGCGCCGGAGGACGACCCCGATAAAGCACGTGAGGTTCGGGCCCTATAGGGAAGGGTCTCCCGCCTGAGATTTCCTCGCAATTCACTCACAGACGAGACTCCTTTGTCCATATTCAGGCCTCAGGAGCCCATGCGTGATGACGGTTGCAGAAGTCCGATGACCCGCCTCGAATTCGAACATGATGTGCGAGCCCCATAGGGAGGCGGCTCCCGCCCGAGAGTTCTTCGAATTTCACTCACACACGAGGCTCCCGCCTGATACTTGCTCCAAATTCAAGCCTCAGGTGCCCAAAAGTGACGACGGTTACAGAAGGCCGATGACCCGCTTCGGATTCGAACATGAAACGCGGGCCCCATAGGGAGGGGGGCTCCCGCCCGAGACTTCCTCGCAATTCACTCACACACGAGGCACCCGCCTGATACGTCACCCATATTCAGACCTCAGGAGGCCAAGGATGACGACAGTTACACGAGGCCGATGACCCGCCTCGGATTCGAACATGAGACGCGGGCCCCATAGGGAGGTGGGCTCCCGCCCGAGACTTCCTCGCAATTCACTCACAGACGAGGCACCCGCCTGATACTTCCTGCACATTCGGGCCTCAGGTGCCCAAAAGTGACGACAGTCACAGGAGACCGATGACCCGCCTCGGATTTGAACATGAAACGCGGGCCCCACAGGGAGGGGGCTCCCGCCCGAGACCTCCTCGCAATTCGCTCACACACGAGGCTCCCGCCCGAGACGACACACAGGCGAGTGATGATCATGATGATGTGAGTGATGATGATGACGATGATGATGGTGATGATGATTGCGACGATGATGAGGTCAGTGGTGATGATGGTGTGTGAGTGATTGACTGCGTGAAAGTGCGATCGTGTGTGGTGAGTGTGTGACTGACTATGATGGGGTAAATGATTGAGTGTCAGAGGTTTATTGCGTAATAGAGTGGTCGTGTGTGGTGCGTGTGTGGCTGATGATGATGGTGCGGCTGATTGAGTGAATGAGTGTGCGAAGGGAGAAGAAGCTGAAGGTGTTATGATGATGGTGCATGAGTGATTGAACGAGTGAACGCGCGAAGGCAGAAACAGAGAGGGAGTGTTCCTTCCATCCTGTTCCTGCGCGGGGTGTCCAAAGAAAACAAGTACCCCACTGTGGATGTGGGGGAAACACCGACTAACCTTAGGTCGGGCATGTCCTCCACCAGGCGGAAATTCAAAGAACACCACAAACTAGTCAAATCATATTTCTTGCGCGACAAAATGAGCACGACAAATCGTCACCAGACTATTGTTTGACTGTTCTTGGATATTCCTCCTGTACAGGGGAATGCCCTATTAAGACGAACCACAATTAGAGGAGCTGTGTCCCCTCCCCCCCCACGGGGTGGGAACGCATCGTGTCGACGACCTCTCAAGAGGGATGTCGAAACCGATGGGCCCCCCCCAGGGTGCTCAAGAACCACAGCTCCCCCCAACTGTGGCTGGCCTGGAGTGCGACCCCGTCCGCCTAAGGCCCAACGCCCCACGGATATCCCGTCGGACTATTTTGGGCAGGGCACCCGAGGAGGACACAGGACTCTTCCCACGGCCTCGTGGTCCCAGAACACCACAAAAAGACATGCGGTTTGCACAGAGTGGGATCGACATGACACGCGGGTACCCTCGATTTGGCCTGGTCGGCCTACTAGTCAGGGCCGACTGTACCATACCTATACGACCACCCTTCGGGTGATAAGGAGGTTCGCGGGGGGGAACCAACGTCTGACTCGATCGGTCTGACTATCGATTTCACGATCGATCTCACTATCGGTCTCGCTCGATCGGTCTCACCCGATCGATCTCACAATCGATCTCACCCGATCTACTTCATTCGATCTATCTCACAATCGATCTGGCTATCGATCTCACAACCGATCTCACTATCGACCTCACTATCGATGTCACAATCGATCTCATATTCGGTCCCAATATCGGTATCACTATCGATATCACAATCGATCTCACAATCAACGTCATCATCATCACCAACATCATCGACATCAACTTCACCAACATCATCATGATCATGATCATCGGGACACCATCATCATCAGCATCACCTCATCACCATCATCATCAACACCATCATCATCATCATCATCGGGACACCATCATCGTCACCATCATCATCATCAATCTCATCATCACCGGGACACCACCATCATCTCATCATCACCACCATCATGAACAGCATCATCAACATCAGCATCATCGGGACACCATCATCACCATCGGCCACATCAACATCATCAACATCATCATCATCATCGGGACACCATCATCATCATCAGCAACAATATCATCACCATCATCATCATCGGGACACCATCATCACCAACATCAGCATCATCATCACCGGGCCACCATCATCAACATCATCATCATCACCTCATCATCATCCTCATCATGCACATCATCATCATCGGGACACCATCATCATCATCATCATCACCATCAACATCCTCATCATCGAGACACCATCATCATCATCACCATCATCATCATCAACAACATCATCATCAAACTTATCATCATCATCATCCGGACACCATCATCATCACCATCAATTTCATCAGCATCATCTCATCATTATCAACATCATCAGGACCAACAGCAGCATCATCATCGGGACACCATCATCATCAGCAACAGCAAAAACATCAATATCATCATCATCGGGACACCGTCATCATCACCACCGTGGTCATCATCATCATCAACCTCGTCAACATCTTCATCATCATCATCATCATCATCATTGTCGGGACACCATCATCATCAACACCACCACCATCACCATCATCATCATCATCATCGTCATCATCAACATCATCGACATCATCGACATCATCATCATCATCATCATCATCATCAACATCATCATCATCATCATGATCATGATCATGATCATGATCATGATCATGATCATGATCATCATCATCATCATCATCATCATCATCATCATCATCATCATCATCATCATCATCATCATCATCGGGACACCGACGGGACACCGGCGGGACACCGGCGGGACACCGGCGGGACACCGCGGGCCACCGGCTCCCGGAAAAGAATCATTTGGTCCGGCCTCGCCTCAGCCGGAGGCGGGATACCAGCGGGACACCGCGGGCCACCGGCCCCCGGAAAGGAATCATTTGGTCCGGCCGCGCCTCAGCCGGAGGAGACTTTCTTCTCGCCCGCCCATGCAGCTTCGCCTCGCCCGCACGCACGGCACGCACGAACACGGAACCGAAACCGAATTCCCGGTAGGGGGGCTCTCCGTTCCACTTCGATCTCCACCTCCGATACTCGAAATAATTTCGATCACCCGGCAAAATGCCCAAACAGTGTCTGCCCGACCCGATGGCGAAGTGTCGAACGAGTACCGCCTCCAAGGGCCCGACACGTGCAAACCCTCCAGTTTCGGTACTTTCTTGGTGCTCGAACTTCTCTCTGGTGATCAGGGCTAGAGTATGTTGGAACATCATGGCCCTATACCCCCAAACGAACAGCATTCCTGGGCGGAGGGCCCAAACACGAAGAACATGGAGAGGTACCCATCCACAACAGGGGTTGGTCTTGACCCGTGTGCCAGCTGTACAGTCGGACCCAGGTCAGGAGAACATCCCTCAAGAACATGAGACCCTTCCGTCGGCCAAAACAAGCAGAACATCGAATGGTACCCTCCCCAGGATGCACTGGTACCCTCCCCAGGATGCAATGCACAAGAACATCCAAGAAACACAAAACACATCCCCAAACGACCTCGATGTCATACCTCGGTCTGGCTGTGTCCGAGACCGTCCATCTCGCCTCCCGTTTCTCCATGCTGGGAGTGGAGCGGCAAGGCAGGAGCGGTAGGATGTAGAGGGACAAGTGCACAATGCGGCTGGTCGGCAAGAAACAAGTGGAGCTGATGAAGCCGGGGTGGCCTGCCCGTCAACTTTCCCCACGACATCCGTCAGATCCTTAACGACCAAGCCCATCAGAATACCAATCAGCCCTGCCCGTCAAAGCGGGGGATTGTCACAATGGCAACAGCGAGTCGCAGTGAGATCGGTTCTGGGACAATTGAGAACGCAAACGGCCCAGGAGGGACACACAGCGACGGTGACGACACCAATGCCAACCATCTTACAGACGTGTGACCTAACGATCTGCTTTTAGATTCGTGTGTTTCTCCCCCTCCCTTGTACCCGCCGCTAGCTATGCGAACGCTCCCCTGCTGGGAACAATTTTTCACACCAGCGCCTCAGAACCCACCAAGATGGTAGAATACGCAAAAAGGATCAGACTGCGTAGAGCGGGCCCTGAAGAGGGACGGGGGAGGAGCGAGGGCGGAGGCGGGAGGTCTGGCGGCAGGAGGAAGGAATGAACAGAACGATGCGGGAAGAAGAAAGAAAGGCGGTGAATTGAAGAATTGGACGGGGTGTGGGGCCGAGGCCACGCCCGGTGCATCAAGGACGCTCCGCGGAGTGAGCACCGTGAGTGGGGCTGGGGCGGGCGCACGGCGGAGGGACGCGAGGGTCGGTGGGGCACGGTGGGCTCCTCGCTTCCATGCTGAGCCCAGACGGCGGCCTGACGATGCTCCGCGATGTGAATTGTACGTTTCAATGGTTTGAGGAGCGCAGGCGCGCAGCACTCTTTGGAATGGCAACACCCAGGCAAGTGGCGCCGAGGCGAAAGCGCGATTAATGAATACGGCGCGAAGAAGTTCATGCCGATGTCGCGATTCCTGAGAGGCGGGAGCGCACTCTCAAAAAATGTGCGACCCCCCCCCAGGGATAGCTCGGCTCATGAATCAACTATGAGGCAATCAAAAGCTCGGCGCGAGTCTTCAGTGAGTCGTGCGGCAGTCTTGGGCGAGAGCACAACTCCCGAATTGCGTGAGCGCGAGTGCTGAGTATATTGCAACAACATCCTTGGCGACAACAGGGATCTCGACTAATTGTAAGGAGATCTCACGTGTTGGTTCACAACAGATCATTCAATACTCTCCACACAAGGGTGTGGCCATTTCTGCGCCTGGTTGCTCCAGGACGTGAGGGATGGCTTAGTCCTCCAAATGCATTCATCGTTCTCCACTGCGTGCAAGTGCGTACGCGAGAACGGTCTTTGAAGTTGGCTCGTTGCATTCCCGCCAAGCCCACCGCTCGGTTGCTACCTCGAAGGCGAGCGTGAAAGAACAAGTTCTCATTTTGAGCTCCAGCTGGCCACACGGAGCCGATGCAAACCCAGACCCCCATCGCTCCCACGAGTTTGCTTGACACCCGGCGCTTTTAATGTGACTGGTCATGGTGTTGCCTCGAAGTCTACATGAAATGCTTGTATCCACTGTCAAGTCCGAAGGACACCAGCCTCTGAACAACTCCACACACTCGTGCACAGCATTCTCGAAGCTTCAGAAGAAATATGGGCCCAAAACGCGGAAGAAAGGTCTCCCAATACCTGGCGCACGTGCACAACTGGGATGCAGCTGACCAACGAAGGCGGCGAGCTACGGCGCACAGCGCGGCGCTCTCAGGGAGCACGGATGCGCCCTGTGAGGGAGCGAGGAGGCGTGGAACCATCGCCGAGCGTACTCTTCACAGCCGTGCCGTCCAGCAGGGAAGGGAAGGGAAGGAGCCCAAATGTCCCTGTAGGTCACCAGGGCTGGAAGTCTCGGAAATCCCCAGGGGCCCGCTGATGCCTGCGGAGGCTCCAAAACTGGTCAGAAACTCTCCCAAACCCTCGATCCTCGATGTCCCTCCCCGAACACGTCCACGGTGACACCAAAATTGAAACCCGACCGAACCGATATCGAAACTGGACCAACAACACTGAAACGCCGATCGTATCCTGAAGGGACGTAGCGGCGCAACATCCGACCGAAGCGAATCGACCGAATGCAGCTGACCGCGAGGCAACCGAACGGACCGTGGCCTCTTCTCCCCCGCGCCCCCCCCTCGCAGGTCCGAGCAGCACTATCGTCCCGGCCAGGCTCGCCTTTGCCCACGCCTTGCGGCCCAGCAGAATAGGAGGGGCGGGGCCGGGGGAGGGGTGGGGCGGGGGGAAGAAGAGAGCTCAGAGGAGTGGGGCAAGATGAAAAGGGGAGGAGGAGTGCGAAGAGGGGAAGAGGGCGTTGATGGCGCTGGGAGGGGTGGGGGCCGGAGGGCGTGGGTTGTCGGGGAGGGGGGAGGATGAAGCGGACCAATCACCGCTGACCGGTGCGCTGGTCCCGGGGTTGGGGGGTTGCGCCCGCTCCCAGGTGATAAGGAGGTTCGGGGCGGGGGAAGGAGGAACCAACGTCTCATTCAATCGATGTCGCTATCCATCTCACTATCAATCTCACTAGCGATATCACGATCGATCGCACGATCGATCTCGCTATCGATCGCACGATTGATCTCACTATCCCTCGCCCTATCGATCTCACTATCGACCGTGCAACCGACCTCACTATTGATGTCACGATCGATCGCGCGATCGATCTCACGATCGATCGCACAAGCGATGTCTCTATCGATCTCACTATCGACCTCACTATCGACCTCACGAGACACCACGGGACACCACGGGACACCACGGGACACCGCGAGATGCCGCTGGACATCACTGGTCACCACGGGACACCATCAGGACACCACAGCGGGACACCGCGGGACACCACGGGACACCACGGGATAGCATCACTGGACACCCAGCACCACGGGACACAGCACCGCTGGACACCGCGGGATACCACGGGACACGACGGGACACCATCGAGACAGCCCGCCAACCGGGGGTCGGACTGCTGTCCACAACGCGCCCTGGCCAGAGGAGAGTTCATTCCTCTCTCGCCCGCCCACGCGGCTTCGCCTCGCCTGCACGCGCGACACGAACCCGAAACCGAACCCGATGTCTCAGTGGGGGCATCTCCGTTCTACTGCGATCTCACCCCCCAGCCTCCGATATAGGTCCCCTGCTCTGAACGCATTGTGGAATGTAAAATCAAAGTATTGACGCAAAAGTGATCCCAGCAACACGGGGATCATGCACCGACGTTCGCACTCAAAGTCCTCATGCTCTAAGATGAGGCGTTGCCAGGAAAGAGTCACCACCGCCCACCTGCTAGCAGGCTAACGGCACAATTGCTTGTCAAGTGTGATGTCTGATGAACGAACGCCAGACCGATTCCTCCAACCTTGCATCTGCTGCCTGTACGTCTGTGGATCACTGCACCGTCTCCTCCTCGTCGTCTCACTTGATCCTCTTGTTCTGCTTCCTCATCCCTGGATGCTTCTTATCGCAATGCGTCAGTGCTGAGTGCGGGCAAGGCAAGAGCGGCTTCCTGCGAGGAGGCTCTGCGACGGACAACAATTATTCGACGCGGCTAGCGTTTCCCTTGATGGGCGGCGAGGGGCAGAGAAGGCAAGTAGTTCGAGGATGGGCGATGCGAAAACACGCGCTTCTCTGCTTGAGTCCGCTTCGCCGGCGACCGCGGACCGCTTCGCCAGCGGACCGATCCGTTACTGGTCGCTCCCGCTTCCCCCCGAAACGGCCATTCTGCCCCAGAGGTCCAAATACGAGGTTGGCCAGCGAAAGTCGCTGAAGATGGGCCGACGGGACAAGGATGCAAGGGCAACCTTGGAATATTGCTCATCCTCAATATGCGGGTTGACTGTAACGGAAGAGGCCCGTGGAACATCCCTGTGCGACACCCCTTTTGGAAGCCCAAGAGAATCGCCATTTTCATTGCGATGATCATGGGGCTCTGACAATAGACTTAGGTCGGGCGTGTCCCCCGACAGGCGGATTTTGGAACGAAAAATAAAAAAATGTCAAAACATACCACCACAATGTTCAAAAATAGTCAAAACATCGTCCCCATACTTTTTGTTTTGACTATTGTCGAATACTCCTTCTGTAGAGGGACAGGCCCGCCTTAACAATAGACACGTGGGCCGGACGGCCGCCGTGCCTGAGAGTTCCCGAGAATCGGTGGGCGAGGGGGCCCACGGACCACCTCTGGCCGACACCCCCCTGGGGAGGCTCTGAGTGCGACGCCTGCTGCATCGCGGCGATCATGGAGCTCCCGCAAGGAGACACGTCTGCCTCCACCCCATCGCCATCTTCCCTGAGAGGTCCCGACAACCCGGGCACGGACGGGCAGGTGGATTACCGCTGGTCGACACCCCCTTCGGATGTCCAGGTGCGATGTCTGCAACATCACGATGACCATGGAGCTCTGAAAAAGAGACACGTTCACCCCCCACCGAAACGGCCCTTCTGCCTGGAAGATCCCAAACATCTGGGCGCGCACGTGCCTGTGGACCTCCTTGGTAGACCCCCCCTTGGGAAACCGAGGTGCGATGACTGCTGCACCGCGATGATCATACGGCTCTGAAAAAGAGACAGGCCCACCTCCCCCGCAGGGCCACCCCACCCGAGAGGGCTTGACATTCTGGGCGCTGGGCTTGTGGAGCGCCCACTGTCGACACCCTCTTCGGGGGCCCAGGTGCATCGCACGCTTCATCGCGATGATGACTGGGCCCTGAAGCGAACGCACGTCCGCCTCCCCAAACGGCCATTCTGCCTGAGGGGAGCCCGACAATCTGATCGTGGCGCGGAGGGTCCCGTGGGTTACCCTTGGTCGACACCCACTTGGCAGGGCCAAGTGCGACGCCTGCTACAGTTAACGCGTGTAATGAGGACGCACGAGAAGGATGCGGGCCTTGGACGGCCACGTCGACACTTTGCGGGGGGGGCGCGGCCAGCGAAAGCGGCCAAGGATGAGCCGAAGGGGAAGAATGCATGGGCGGCCTTGGAAAGTTCCTCATCCTTATTATGCGGGATGACTGTACATCGCGATGATCATGTGGGAGAAGGTTCAGCGACAGGCAAAACAAACGGGGGGGAAGCCCGTACCTGAGCAAAGGGAGGCACCACAACAAACGCGACGCGCGGAGAAGGCTCCTCCTCCTCCTCCTCCTCCTCCTCCTCCTCCTTCCTTCTCCCTGTTGGACCTCCTCCTCTTCCTCCTTTCCTCCTCCTCCTCCCGATCCTCGTCCTCACCGTGGTGGTACGCATCACTCGGCTGCTCGAGTCCCATGGTCAAGGACTGACCGACAGCGGCTCGCCACGAAGAGTCTGAGGCAATGTTGGATCGAATGACGAGATGGGGAGAAGACAAACAGTAAACGTCTCCTTGATATTCGCCCTGATGACGCTATCCTCGTTGGGCGCGACCTCACGACGAAACCAGAAAAAAACCCGCATCCCCTCGCTTCTGCCTCTTCGCTCCTCCCTCATCCTTCTTGTCAGGCTCCTTTCTGCAATCCCAAGGCAACAGATCTCGGCGATCGGGTTCCCCGAAATGAGGGTTCTAATTGGGGCGCGCGCTCGAGGAGGGTAATAATCATGGGTGGGCGGACTACAGGCGGGTGCTCACGGAGTGGGAATGTCACGAGCGCTGGCACAACATTTTGTCTCGCTTCGGATCTGTGCTGGGACTGGTGCTGTTGGACGAGCAGTGTGGCTCTCACTTGGACTCGCGCACTAAAGGTGTACGCATGCAGGAGGTGCGACTCATGCAGCGTGCTGGCAGGAGGAGGATTGCATGATTGCCTGGGGAAACCAAAGTCCTACGCAGGATAGTTGTATGGGGAACACAAAACTGATGATAGGTGGCGGCGCTCCCGCGCGGCCATGCTGGAGGTGAGGCTCGTCGAATGGAAAGGAAGATCGAGCTCGTGGACTGGGGAGAGCGCGGTCCCTGCGAAAGAAAAACAGGGTGAGTGGGCAGGTGTCGTGGTCCCACGTGGCCTCCCTGAAGGTGAAACTAGTGGATCGCGAAGAGCGCGATCAATGTAAAACATCAGGGTGTGAGGGCAGGCGTCGGGTTCGAGGCGGCAGAACACGTGGAGTGGGAAGGGCACGATCCCAATGAACAATTACCCTGGCGAAGGACCCAACCATACGCAAGTGTGAATACCACCTGGCAGGTGGGACGGAGGAGGGGAATCTCCATATGGCAAGTTCCGGAAACTCTGAACCCTAAAACATTGCCATCTCTTGGCGGCGCCCTTTTTGCTTCCGCAAACTCCCGCCAGCCTTCCGCCTTCGGAGGCGGCCTCGTCTTACTTCCGCGGCCTTCTGCCGCCCTTCCGCCGCATTGCGCCGAGGAAGCGATGGCAGCTCCTTCGGTCCTCGAAGGCGAGGCCCTTTCTGGAGGGCCGCAAATGGGGCCGCGAAATGTGTGCGGGGTGTGCCGAAATTGGCGGTGACGCCGCCGTGTGGAGAATGCCTATGGGGCCTTCGGTGGAGCTCCCCATGGGGCCGCGAAGCGTGTGAGGGGTGTGCCGAGACGGTTGTGACGCCCGCATGTGGACGGTGCCTCTGGGGCCTTCGGTGGAGCTCCCCATGGGGCCGCGAGCCGTGCGAGAGCTGTGCCGAAACGGGCGTGACGTCCAGATGTGGACGGTGCCTCTGAATCCTTGGGTGGAGCTCCATGTGGGGCAACGAATCGTGTGACCGGTGTGCCGAAACGGGCGCGACGCCCACGTGTGAACGGTGCCTGTGGGGCCTTCGGTGGAGCGTCCTGTGGGGCGACGAAATGTGTGAGGGGTGTGCCGAAACAGGCGTGGCGCCCACGTGTGGACGCTGCCTCTGGGGAATGCGGTGGAGCTCCTTATGAGAGGCGAAACGTGTACGGGATGTGCCAAAACGGGCGCGACGACCACATGCGGACGTGTTTCCCTGGGGCCTTCGGTGGAGTTCCATGTAAAGGGTGCGCCGAAACGGGCGTGACGCCCACGTGTGAACGGTGCCTGTGGGGCCTTCGGTGGAGCTCCCTGTGGGGCCACGAACCGTGTGAGGGGTGTGCCGAAACAAGCGAGACGCCCACGTGTGGAGAATGCCACTGGGGCATTCGTTGGAGCCCCCTGTGGGGCTGCAAGAAACGTAAAGGGTGTGCGCCGCAATGGGCGTGACGCCCACATGTGGACGTTGCATCTGGGGCTTTCGGTGGAGCTCCCTGTGCCCACGAAGCATGTGAAGGGTGTGCCGAAACAAGCGTGACGCCCACACGTAGACGGTGCCTCTGGGGCCTTCGGTGGAGCTCCCTATGGCGCCACTAAGCGTGTGAATGGGGTGCCCAAACGGGCGCGACGGCCACATGTAAACGATACATGTGGGGCTTTCGGTGGAGCTCCCTGTGGGGCTACGAACCGTGTGAGGGGTGTGCCGAAACGGGTGTCACGCCCACATGTGGGTGGTGCCTCTGGGGCCTGAGGTAGAGCCCCCTACGGGGCCACGAAGCGTGCGACGGGTTTGCCGAAATTGGAGGCACGGATGGGAGGAGGGAAGGGCGGAACGAGGACAGAGGAGTGACGCGGGGCGCTACGCGGCCTCCTTGGAGGAGGAAGTCGTGGAGTGGGAAGAGCGCCTATGGACATCCAGGGCGTGAGGGTAGGGCATCGCGCTCCCATGCGGCCTCCCAAGAGGTGGAGCGTGTGGGAACGTGAAGGGCACTATGCTATGTGAACAATTTTCATGGCGATGAGCCCAATCATATGCAAGTGTGAGTTCCGCAAGGCAGGTGGGACGACGAAAAGTGGGTGAAACCCCGTGTGATGCCACGCAACGTGTGAACGGTGTGCCGACATGGACGGGGGGGACGCATGCGAACCCTGACAGCAGAACCGTTGCTGGACCCCCCAGCGAGGCCACGAAAAGTGTGAGGGGTGCGCCGACATGGTTTTGGGGATGCATGCGAACCCCGCCACAAGAGCCTTCGGTGGAGCTGTCTGTGGGGCCACGGACACTGTGAGGGGTGCGCCGAAATGGCCGGGGGGGGGGGCGCATGCGAACACTGCCACAGGAGTCTTCGGTGGAGATCCCTGTGGGGCCACGAGAAGTGTGAGGGGTGTGCCTAAATGAGCGGGGTGACGCATGCGAGTCCTGCCGCTAGAGCCTTCGGTGGAGTTGTGGGGCCACGAAGCGTGTGAGGGGTGTGCCGGAATTTGCGGGGGAGCGCATGCGAGCCTTGCCACAAGGGCATTCGGTGGAGCCCCCTTTATGGAGCTACGAAACATGTGATTGGTGTACCGAAGTGGGCGAGGGGACGCGTGCGAACCTTGCCAAATTTGCCTTCGGCGGAGCTCCAGTTGGGGCCCCGAAGCGTATGAGGGTCGTGCCGAAATTGGCGCGGGGGACGCATGCGAATCCTGCCACAGGAGCCCTCGGTGGAGCTCCTTGTGTGCCCACGAAAACTATAAGGGGTGCGCCGAAATGGGCGGGGGGAGTCAGTCATGCATACCCTGCCACAAGAGACTTCGGTGATGCTCCCCTGCGGGGCTACGAAACGTGCGAGAGCGGTGCCGACATGGGTGGAGGGGACGCATGCGAATCCTGCCACAAGAGCCTTTGGTGGAGCCCCCCGTGGGGCCACGGAATGCGTGAGGAGTGCGTCGGAACTCGAGCGGGAGGAAGAAAGGGAGAATCGGGCGCGGGGCACTGTCTCGTCAAAGCGAGGACCCAACGCAACAAGATGGCTGGGGGAACTGAGGATGCGAGGATGTAGGTGTAGCGCTTCCGCGCGGCCTCCCTGGAGGTGGAACTCGTGCAGGCGCGGCCCCCATGAAGGTTCGGGTCCTGGAGGTTGGAAGAGCATGCAGGCAGGAGGTGGGATTCGCGCAGCGTGCTTGAAAGAACAGCTGGAGGATGGAAGGAGGAGAGGGAGGAGGAGAGGGATGAGGAGGAGTGCGCGGCCCCAGAGGGCGACCGACGACGGCGGACGACACGTCACCTCCTCAGGGCGGCAACGGTGGCAGGCGGGGCCCGCCTGCGGAGCTGGATGAGGCGGGCTTTAGCCAGCTTCTCCAGACGCTCTCTCTCGCGGGGCGCTGACACACGGGGCCGCCATTTAGCTTCATGGTAGCACGTGTAGCACGAATCAATAAACAAGGCGACACTGATGAGTTGAGAAAGACCAAGGGGAAGAAGCAGGAAGAGAGAGGCGCGAGCGGAGGCAGAGGCGGAAGCAAAAGAGGACGGAAGCGAGGGGAGAATGCAACAAACGGGAGAGAAGCAGTGACAAACAAGAATGTGAAGCATGCGGTCGGCAGAGGCCATGTCACAAAACCTACAATTAAGAGTAACACCACGGAAGCGGCGCGAGGTGCACCATGAGTTTCAAAACGTGCGTATTACATTCGCTGCAATACAGGCAGGGGCATGCTTACACAGACGCTGGAGTGCAATGTACATAAGATCAAGCTGGGCAGGGGGCAGGGGACGGAGGCGAGCCGAACTTCTTAAGCCTTACCTCAAGAATCGACCGCAGCGAAATCGGAGACAGAGCGAGAAGGGCGGACTCAGTCACGGCTTGAATCTTGGGAGTGCCGGAGGGCGGGACGGACGGGATGGACGTGAGCTTACGAAAGTTGGTAATCATGGCGTACACGACGGACGACCTCCACACCTTAGACCATTTCCATACCACGAGCATGTTGTCAGCATCGCTATCATATTCGAAGAGGGCCCTGGCGTCGTCGAAAGCGGGCGACATGATCGCAGCTCTGTACATGGCCGCGCGACTTGCCGCTTCTAGAGAACGAGCCTGTGTCGGGAATCCCCATTCACGGAGCTGCTGCAAGAGGTTCTGGGGGAGGCCATTGTTCGGGGCGTTGGTCACACCAAGAGAGGACCATTGTTCAGGACCGAGAAAGCCAAGAGGTTCACCATGAGAAGGGATTTACATAGCCCAGCCCCGACATGTTTGATTTCATGAGCCCGCGAGATACATTTCATAGACGGAGGACCCCAACTAGCATTTCGGCCATCTTCCCCAAGGTACACTCCGAGATACTTGCCCGCGCGCTGGAAGGTGAGGCCCTTGGCAGTCCTCCCACCAGAGGCGACCATCCTCTCACAGCACTGTTCCTGCGAGAGGTCGCCAAGCGGTACAATGACCGACTTCTTAAGGTGGATGTGAAGACACGCAGCTGTACCCGCGATCTTTCACGCAGGCAAGAGATCGCGGAAGGCGGAGAAGATATCAGCAGCGGCAACGCCGATGTCGTCTGCGAAAGCTGCCAAGCACGAGAGACGCCTGGGAATACGGGTGAGCATGTAACGGATGAGCGGGTCAAGGGCGAGGCAGAAGATGGTACCTGAGAGAGGGTATCCTTGCTTGATCCCACGGGAGGCTAAGAAGGAGGCCTTGCGGATCCCATTGAATTTGATGTTGATTTTAACGTCATTGTACAGCGAGTGCACGACATTGATGACGAAGGAAGGAATACCCATGGCCCGAAGAACCCAGAAGATGAAACTGTGCAATCAACTTGGGAAAGCAGCCCGAACATCGTAGTAGATGGTCCCCGCGTTTTGGTGGCCGTATTGGGCAAACCAAGACACCGCCTTACTCTCGAGGTTGATAATCCCACCAGCCCTCTGGGCGTAGGTGGTCTAGAGCAGATCCTCTTCCACCCCTCCCTCTTCCCCCTTGGGGAGGGGTTTACCCCTCCCCCTACCCCCTCCCCTGGACCTGGACGGGGGGGGCCGCGGGTAGTTAGAGCGTCCAAGATGGCCCAAGACGGCTCCAAGAGCGCCTCAGAGAACCCAAGATGAGCTCCAAGATGGCTCAAGATAGCGCAAGATCGCTCACGATGGCTCCTAAGATGGTTCCAAGAAGCCCAAAGACGGCCCCAAGATAACTCCAAGTGGCCAAACAGCTCCCCAAGGAGGCCCCGAAGAGGCCAAAATCGTCCCAAAACCTAAGGAAAATCAATGATTTTTGCTTTCTCGCCTTTTCGCTTCCGATGGCCATCCGAGGCCTGGAGATGGCTCCAAGATGGCCCAAGAGGGCCCCAAGAGAGCCCCAAAAGAGCCCCAAGACGGCCCCAAGAGCGCCCAAGAGCACTCCAAGAGCGTTCCAAGAGGGGTCCAAGAGGCGATTTTAGGGGCTTCCGAGGGGGGGCGCTAATTAAACCCCCCCTCTTGTTTGATCGACTCCCTCCAAGATGGCCCCAAAAGCGCCCCGAAGGCTCCCCAGAGCGCCTCAAGAGGGTCCCAAGAGGCGCCCAAGATGCCCCAAGGCGCCCAAAAAGCCCTCCAAGAGGCCCTCAAAAGACCCCCAAGAAGCTCCTTCCCCTCCTCCTCCTCCTCCTCCGATTCTTCCTCCTTCTCCGTCCTCCTCCTCCTCCTCCTCCTCCTCCTCTTCCCCCTCCTCCTCCTCCTCCTCCTCCGACGACGACGACGACGACGACGACTCCTCTTCCATCCTCCCCCTCTCGGGGTCTGTGACAGCTTCCCCCGCCCTTTGTTATTCTGCATGCTCCCCGACTTCCCTGATCACCTCAACTCCCCTGAGCATCGTTTCTGGATGGGCTGGTGGGGATACGCGAAGCGTCAACAATATTCTCGTTCATGAAACGGCCAGCGATAAAACCTCGCTGGTTGCCAAGCACAGTTTGGGCAACGACTCTCGAAAAGGACCTGTTGAGGGCGACGGAAACCAACTTGTTATCAGAATTCCCAAGAGTAATGGGGCGAGTAGAGGGATGATGAGGAGGAGGAGAAGGAGGAGGAAGAACGCAGGACGGTCTGAGAAAGCAAGAGCCCTATTCAGGATGTTGGGAACCTTTGCTACACAATGAAGGTGTCTGGTCGGCCCTAGAATCTCCAGATATCTCTAAGGACTTTCGCACAGGTCCCTGGAGGTTGCCAACCTAATCTTTCGTATAGATCTCGCGCTGTGGGTTGCTGTCTGTCGGCCCGGATCCCGAGACTCGAGACGGCCCCTGAAGGCGTTTTGCCTTGAACGCCCGCGTCGAGGCGGCACGAATCTGCCATACCGCAACTGCCCTGCCTTGCTTCCCCATATCTGGCCATCGCACCTCGGACGTCCATTCCCCGTGCATGTTCGGTTTCGTGTGCTGATGTTCAAGGTGATCCACGATGCTCCTCGCCGAGAAGAAATGCACACGTCCGGGCGACACCAAAATATAGTTAGGCAACGTTTCCGCTGGAACCTCACAGACGGCGAGACCCCGCTACGGTTTGTTTCCAAGGATACCAGCAGCCGAGCTCCGATGAGCAGCCCGACGAGAACCAGAGGCACCACCCCGTACATCGTCTTGATGAGCATGTCTCGCGAAGCCTTGGGCGAACAGGTGTCGGAGACTCCCCCGTATCCTCCTGCCCCCTCTCCCCTCTCACGCTGCTACTGGCTCTCTCCTCCTCCCTTCTGCTTCATCTTCTCGTTCCCTTCTTCCTTCCTCCCTGCTCCTTCCTGCCTCCTATCTCCTCCTGCTCCCTCCTCTCCTCCTCCACCAATCTTGTCCTCCTCGTCCACCTGTTCGTTGTCGTCATCCTCCTTCCACAGTCTCCTCCGTCCATCTTCCTCCACAGACTCCTCCCTCCTCGCCGACTCCCTCCCCTCCCCACCTCCCTCCACCTCCTCCTCCTCCTCCCTCCTCCTCCTCCTCCTCCTCCTCCTCCTCCTCCTCCTCCTCCTCCCCCTCCTCCTCCTCCTCCTCCTCCCCCTCCTCCCCCTCCTCCTCCTCCTCCTCCTCCTCCTCCTCCTCCTCCTCCTCCTCCTCCTTGTCGTCCCCGTCCCCCTCGACCCTCCACCCACCCTTATCCTTCTCCGCATGCCCCTCTTCCCGCCTCCCGCTCCTCCTCCGCTCCTCCTCCTCCTCCTCCTCCTCCTCCTCCTCCTCCTCCTCCTCCTCCTCCTCCTCCGTGCGTTTCGATTTCACCGCCGAAGGCAACAATCCACTCAGTCTCGCCGCCGTGCACCCATGCCTCTTCTTCTCCCGAGCGATGGGGCTGCCCGAGGGATCCCGCCCGCGACCATGCTGCCCCTTGCGCGGGCCGCCCCGTCGCGCCCTTCGGCCCATCTCTTCGGCCCATCCCCACTCGAGAACGGCAGCATGGCTTTCCGAGGCCACTGGGCACACTCACCGCGCATCCCTGGGATGCGGTTGGCCCGTGCTCCCCCGGGGCGCCGCGCGGGCCAGGGCCTCTCCGGCGCCCGGCCCTGCCCGCCGCGGCGCCCGCGCCTCGGCCAGGCCTCGGCCCGCCCGCCGTGGCCCTGCAGTCACGCCGCGCGTCGTCTTGCGCGATCGCCGCCCCTCTCGGGGGCCGTCCCCCGGGGGCCATCGAGGCACGGCCCGCGGCAGCACCCCCCCCCCCAGGGACGGGGTCGGGAGCTCCCGGGTGCCCACGCCTGGAACCAGATCATGGCGTCGGAGGTCTGGGTCCCGGGCTGCCCCGACCAGCACACGCCGCGAGAGGGGAGCCCGAGCGACTTGCCTCGGGCTTGCTCGGGCGTTCAGCTCTGGTCGCCAGAATGCGGGCTCGCAGAGATCTCAAACAGAAAGCTGCATGCGCAATATTCTTTTGCTGAGTGCCATCTGCCAGGCCTTGGGATCCTAGACAGGCAGTTGGCACCCCTCTTGACTCAGATTGCTGCGTCGGAGGTCTGGTTGCCCCGACCAGCACACGTCATGAGAGGAGCGCGAACAGCGTGCCTCGGGCTTGCTCAGCCGTTCCGTTCTGGTCGCACGGGGGTGGGTCGGCGGCGAGCCCAGGGGGGGAAGTGAGAAGGGGTGGGCCTTCTCAGAAGGCTCGGAAGTCCCCCAGCCTTCTGAGAAGTCTTCTAAGCCTTCCCCGAAGCCACCGGGAACTTCTCAGAAGGCGCGAGGGCTTCTGAGAAGTCCCGCCGCCTTCTGAGAGGGAGGGCCTTCTCGTTCTCGCTTCTCCCCCCCTCGCTCGCCGCCGAGTGGGGGGGGGTGGCGCTCTCCCCCGGCGGAGGGGGCAGAGCTGAGGAGGACGAGAAGGGCCCTGGGCAAGCGAGGGCAGAGCAGAGGAACGACCCAACGGGCCTCCGCGGCTTCAGACTCGTAGGAATGAAAAGGTCCGCGTGTCGCGTGTCGCGGGGCGCGCAGGCGGCTACCCTGCCTGCGCCCCGCGACCCGCGCCGTGATTCGCGCCCGCCAAGACCCGCCGCGCAACCCGCCTGCGCGGCGGGCCATCATCAACCGCGGGCCGGCCTGCGGCGCGTCGCAGGCGAGTCGCGCGGCGGGTCGCGGGGGCGGGTCGCGGCGGACGCGGCAGGTCGCGGCGGGCGGGGATCGCGGGCGGGACGGGGGTTAGTTGCGGGCGTGTCGCTGGACGACGACGGCGGCGGCGTTGTCGACGTCGACGACCGCGATTTTTTCCGACGCGGAGATCCCCATGCATGCATCTCTATCTCCATCGCTTTCGTTGGTGAGTGTCTGGGCGCAAACGCGTCTGAGTGTGAACAAGTCTGGATATGAGCTACTTAATACGAATCTGAATTTGAGTGAATCTAAATCTGAACGGGTGAGGATGCGTGGGCCTGGCTAAGAATCGTTCCAATGTTGCGTGGGACTGAGCGCGGTGAGAGTGAGTCTGGGCCTGAGAAATTCTGAGGGTGAGCGTGTCTGACTATGTGTGGTTGGGTATGGGCGAGTCTGTGCGGGACTCAAGCTGAATGTGAATGATGGGTGAGTCAGGGTGCGAGTGAGTGGAGAGAGGGGCTGGGTATGAGCAAGCCTGAAGGTGAGCTAATTATGGTGTAAGTTGGCCTGGGCATAATTTGTGGAGTATGGTTGGATCTGGGTGTATGAGTGGGTATGAGTGTGAGCGTGAACGTGTCTGATCCTAAGCGTCTGAATGCTAGTAGGACTGGGTGGGAGTGTGTCGAAGCATTATTGGAGACGCGTATGAGTGCTCCATCGTATACGTGGACATGATATATGACTGGGTCTGGACATCAGCGCGGGGCTCCTGAGACCTCCCTGGGAGCACGACCTGGACCATTCACAGTCAAGGGGCCGACGGGCGCGACCCACAGGAGCAAGCTGAAGAGCACAACATCGAGGCACATGACAACCATAAGTCGTAGCTACGAGTTTCCCGATCCAACGTGGCCGACACTGCAGGACGAAGTGGGCTTTTGCCAATCTCGTAAACAGACACTTGACGGTGACCATTCCAGTGCTGGGGCCGACTGGCGAGAGCACATGAAGTGGGTTAGACGGTCATGCAACTGTCATGCACAACGGCGGAGCAACTTCGTGGTCAAGATCACAACACTCTGCACCGTGAAGGCTAATGCGGATGAGAAAGGGTGCACCTGATCACCAGCAAGAGACCAGCGACATGATGACTGACGAGATCGGTGCGTACGAGTGGTGCGACAGACACAAACGACGGGTTGACAAGAATTTCGAGGACAAAGACACGACATAAACTGGTTTGCACACCTGACGTCCGAGACGCAGCCGTGGAGGATATATATATACACAAGACTGCAGTGGCGCTTCGCGCCATGCACCTTGGTCCTTGAAGTTTGGTACGCAGGCGGAAATGGCAGGAAGGTCAAGCCGACAATTTAGCGATAACTTCTTGCTGCCTTTTCTGGCATCGCCGTTATGATAATGTTGTTCGTTATCCTTCCTCCATGTTTATTTTTCCTCATTCTCGCCATACCCTGGGCATTCTCCCCATCCTCCTCGGCTCTTTTTGCAGAGGCTCCTCCTTGGAGAGCCTCTGGGGGCCTCACCAAAGTTCTCAAGCTTTCTTAAAGCCTTCTGGAGGCCTCCTGGGCGTGTTCTGGGGGCCTCTGGGGCTTCCTAAGGCCAACCTGCCTCTAACCGCGGTCTCCCTGAACGCCCTGGTCACGATTTGGAATGCTTCGGAGGAGGGTGTCTTAGGGGCCATCCTGGGCCGCCATGGGACTCTCTTAGGGCCATCTTGGACCCCTGTTGTGCCTTTTGGGGCTCTCTTGGGCTGCCTGGAAGCCCTTTTGGATGGTTGTGGGGCGATTTGGGAGCCTCCCAGGCGGCTTCGGACGCCCAGAAGACCGCCGTCTTGGAGCGTCGGGAAGCCGAAAAGAGGAGAACCCCAAATTTACCAAAAACCTACCTAAAATCAATGACTTTTCCCTCTTGGGGCCTTCTTGGGGTGCTCTTGGAGGCCTCTTGGTACGTTTTGGAGCGATCTTTCGGGGTATGACGGCTTCTTGGAGCGCTCTTGTGCTGTCTTGGGGGTCTCTGGGACGTCTCCGGTGACCCCCCTGATCGCCCTAGGTGTGCTGCGAATGCTTGGCAAAACACCCTGCGAAGCCCCGGGGGCCGCTTCAGGGCCCGTCCGGAGGGTCCCGGAGCCCCAGATCCCGGGAGTCCGGTTTTCCAGGGCTTGTAGAAATATAGGAAGAGGAATGTATGTATATCTCTCTCTCTCTCTATATATATATATCTATACATACATATATATATATATATATATACTAGCGGTCTCGATGTGTAGCCGAAAGCGCACATGGAGAAGAGGAGTAAGGAATCGACCCACACGCACAGGTGCGGCCAATGCATGTGGATCTGGGTACCGCACTGTGTTCGTTGCCGTCGCTACTGCTGTACGTATCATCTTGGAGAGGGTGATGAAAGCGGCGCAGGGGCGGCGGCAGGCACTGCATGGCGTGCAGCAGGCAGAACAATCTGCCCGACAAGCACGAAGGACACTCATCAATGCGCGCATCAACTTTTGCATCAATCGAAATGTCTCGGAAGCGGACATGTGTGACAGGACAGTGATCTGGCCATCAACTGGCTTTAGCCAAGGGCCCTGGACAAGTCAGGTGATGTAGCATATAGTTTCCGAGGGCTATAGCAACTACAGCGAGAGCGACTGTAGCGAGGGCATCATGTAGCTTTCGATCTGGTCTGGCTGTGTCTCATAGGTGGTCAGAGTTTAGAACATCGGCGCATGTAATAGCGTATGTCTTCATATCCAAAGGGGCACCCAGCATAGTTTCTGTTCGCATAGAATCAGTATGTGAAGCACGCCGGCCGAGAACATTTCGCAAGTAGGTAGCGTGGCAGACGAGACAATCAACACCCGTCCTGCCGCCCACCGGGGGCGGCGCGGGAGGCGCCGCCAATGGGGGCCCAACGCCGATCCAAGAAACCCGCACGGACCTCCCAGGCATCTTGTTTATGCAGTTCTTTTTTGTGGCTCGGACTGCTCAGGGGCCCGTGGCTTGCTGCCAGCAGATTCGGGCACACGCGTTCGCTATCACATCACGGGCCGCTGAAGTACAAGCTTCGATCGCTCGATCGCCAGGGGCTCGTCCTGGGGCTCTCCTGGGCACCTCTTGGGCCGTCTTGTTTTCTCCGGCAGCTGGTCCAGAACGTCAATGTCTCTAAACATATACTTTGGATTTCGAGTGATTTTCACATCTGCGCCTTTTCAGTCTTAAGGGCGTCCAGGACAGGAAGGCCAGACAGGCAGCCCAAATCGCTCCAAAGGCACTCCTGGAGTCCCCACGAGGAGTCCGAGAGGGTCGCAAGAGAGGCCCGACGAGGTGCAATTCGAAGGGGCTCCGGGAGCCCTCGCCACCAAGATGGACTTCGAGACTGCCCGCCTCCCAAAGGCCCCAAGACGCTCAAAGGCGACCTCACGGAGGCCTCAAGAGGCCCCCAAGCGGCCTGCAATAGCCCCCCCCGAATTACCCCCACTAGTTAGTCTCCAAAAGGCCGTGTGCCCACAACACAGGCACGGTGGCGGTACGGACCGAAGTTAAGTGGATCTGCCGCCCCCTGTGGCTTACAAGATCTTGCAAGAGGGGTTGTTTGCGGGCCAAATGTTGACCGTTTCAACCCCTGCAAACGGTTTTCAGTGGGATCTCCGCGCATCCCTGCAGGTGCATTTCCCGTGGGCTGTTCCGCCCAATTGTGCTCCAAGATGGTCTCCAATATGGTCCCAAAGCGCTTCTAAAACGGCTCCAATAGAGAGTCCAACCTGGCCCCAATATGCCACCAAGACGGCCCAGTCTGGACCCAAGAATGCCTAAGATGGCCTCTACCAAAGATGCCGCTGATCTGCTCAAAGTTGCTCCAAGAGATCCTCCAGTAGGCCCTCATTGACTTTCATTGTTGGTTCCATCTCTCGCCATTTCGGGCTTCCGACAGCCGAAGACGGCCCCAGAGGCCACCACGATAGCCCCAAGCCAGCCCAGTAGGCCCCCAATACGGCTCCAAAACGGTTCCAGAGACCCCCAAAACGGCCCTCAAGGGCACCAAGAGGGCACCACGACTGCCTAATAAGGCTCTCACAACGCCTACCTCAGGCCAAGAGGCCCCTCACAGGCCCCGCAGAGTCGCCGCAGAGGCACTCGGAGGTATCCAAGAGGCCTCCAGGAAGCCCCGACAAAGCCCCACGATGCCTCCAAGAGGCCTCCTCTTCCTCCTCCTCCTCAGCTTCCTCCTCCTTCTCCTCCTCCTCCGCCTTCTCCTCCTCTCTATCTTCCTCCCCCACGGCTTCCTCCAGGGACACAGCGGCTCGGTGAACTCATAGTTCAATAGCTTGGCCAGATTTTGGACCAACGATCGTCCACACAAGCGCTTCCAGAAGAGCAGGGGGCGCTGGTGGTTCGCCGTGGGCGTCTTCGACTCAGCAAAATATTCGGAAGTCCTCATCAACAACAGAGCAAAAGGCCAAATACGAGTAAGAGCAGTAAGGTACGGATGGGGGAGGTGCCGGCTTGACTAGCTCATGAAGCACATGTCCTGATGGCGAGACCCCCCACCTCTGGCCTTCTGAGTGAATAGCTCCACGTCGTTTGCAAGGGCCTTGTCGAAGTTCTCGTTCGCCTCGGACGCGCATGCTGTTGTCCGAGCGCAAATCCCGCATATTGGAACATGATAGCTCGGGTGAGATGGCAAACAATGCTGCCGCATGAATGCAAATGGCGGGGGGTGCCAGTGAAGCCTTTAGGGAAGCAAGAAAGCGCGGGTAACCTCTTTGGCCGCCTGGACGGCTGGGGACTGCGTCCGCGACGAAGTTGTCGGATGGGTGAACTGCGCCGCGGCAAGGGGCATACACGTAGTGCAACGCACAAGACAGAACCAAAGAGATGAACCATTAACTCCCAAACACTCTCTGGGACGCGATGACACAACTATTTGCCAACGAATCCTTGGCTACTGCTGTTGCTGCTGCTGGCGAGAGCTTCTGGCCGCGTCCGGCTTCCAGCCCGACTCTCGAATTACTTTCGAATATGTTTTCTATCTGCGGAAGCGTCAAACACGTGGTGACAGAGGCCGCAAGAAAGCGACGTCGGAGGCATTGAGTTGTCCACACGATCTTTACTCGCTTGTTTATCCTCGCGCCGCGTCCATTGCCCTCCCCTGCCCGATCCTTCCATTGCACTCCCCTGCCCTCCTAATCTCATCTTCCTGCTCCTCTTTCCCAAGGGTCTCGATGTGGGTCTCCTGCGGCCGAGACTAAGTGCTCCCCTCCAGTGCCCATCCATTTTACGATCCGCTCGCTACAAATGCCCACCAACTTGCGACTGGTTGAGATGTTCTCCCGACCGGAGAAAAAACTAAGAACATGCGACCCTACCCGCTTTCTTTTGTTTTCGCTATTTCTGCCGGGGACGGCGCCGCATAGTCCATCTCTGTGGTCAGTGTCTCTTTAGCGCGTTGTGTCCTAGGGAGATCGTGCAATTGGTCATGAACGGGCCGAGGCCCACAATGCGCCTCACGCGCACGGTGGAGCTTTGCGATGCCCGATGACCAGTCAGCCGCACACAGTTCATGGACTTGAGACTCAACCTCCGTGGCTTGTTAATTCAATCTAGACAGAGGCAGGGGACGTGCAACATGTTCAATCAACAATCATCTCCTCGGGAAGAGATGAAAACACGGACATATTCAGGTGCATTCAGAACATAGTAATGCCTGCCATTGTGTCATCATGATTCGCTGTACTTGTAGAGCTGGACGGCAATCTGGGGAAAAATGAAATCCTGTGCTATACCGTCTTGTCTGCCATTGTGGCATCATGATTCGCTGTACATGTAGAGCTGGACGGCAATCTAGGAAAACATGAAACCCTGTGCTATACCGTCTTGCGCGAGCTCCACGGTGCACTTGGGTGCTTCCGTCGCTTGTTGAAGCCATGGGGAACTCAAATTGTACCCTTCTGTCCGTACAATGTCGCCAGATCCCGCCACGTTATGATTTCAGTGTTGGACCATGGGTAACGCCACAAGAAGGGCAGCACGAAGCCGTAGAAAATTCACCGCACATTCTTCACGAATGGCTCCGGCTGGCCACGTACTCGCACCAAACTTGTCACAAATGTCAAACGCAAATCGGCACGTACCCACGTGCTTAAACCAGCACGAAAACAACCCGCGGGCCATTGGAACCCGCTAGCGCCTAACATTGGTGACGGCCTGTCCTGCTGGTGCTCATGACTTGGCAAGTCCAATTTCGCTGAAACAGCCAATTGTCCGCGTGCACTTTCACTACTCGCGAAGTTGGCAAACGCAAGCGTGAATGCACCCACCGAGCCCACACTGGTTCAGCGGGCACGGCTTTCGTGTCACCGGTCAGGTCGCGTGGCACCGCAAACTCCCTGGTAGGCTGCTGGGCAACAGACGTCCCAAACCGAATTTCATCCTTTAAGCGCGGAGTGTATTTTCGAAGCCTGCGTATGCGCTTGAGCTCGACCTCGCTGTGCAACTTGCTGATTCATTCCGCACCGCTAAACAAAGAATGCAGTTTGCGGTCGCGATCCCAGAGCAAACCACGGGCGTCAGCCATTCACGGCTCAATGATGCTGGTGTAAGGCCTGACAAGGTCTCTACGAAACTGAGCCAGACATGCATAACGCACGCGGTCACTTGGTTCTCGAGCGGCTGCCGCACGAACAGAAGACGTCCACGGCGACGCCACAACCGAAAAACAGACTGAGCCGACAGAAACCGAGGTCGGTCGAAACTGACAGGCCGAAAGCAACCGACAACGACGCAGCGACACGACAGTCGCCCGAACCGATCCGAATGCAACCGACCGCGACGCCACCAACCGAACCGACTCGCGGGCACCCCCGTGAACCTCTGCCTGGGCACTTACTGTCGGACAGCGCGGGGTCGCGAAGCGCCATCTGGCCGCGAAGGCGGCCGGGGCACGGCCGGCCTTCGCTGATGAGAGCCTTCCGATTTGACTCGTGGATTGATCCTCGCGCCGTTGGGGTCCCATCAGGCAGGTCAGGATCTGATGGGGTCGGGCGGGGAGCGAGTTGTCCCCGAGTGTGCGAGGAAGAAGCACAAGAGGCGCGGTGGCAGGGCTAGGGCCCTGACTCTTCACGCGCGAGCTGTCAAACGGAGTCCAGCATTTTGTTGCGCGCGCCTTTTTTTTTTGCTCTCTCTCTCTCTCTCTCTTTCTCTTTCTTTCTGTCTGGGCCCGTGCGTGCACCGCCCGAAGACAACTCGCTCACTCCTCTCTCAAAATCTCTTTCTTTTACTCTTACTCTTTTGTTTTGTCTCTCTCTCTCTCTCTCTCCCTCCCTCCCTCTCCGAGCCAAAACCTTTGTAAGATCGGTATGCGGACCCCTTCTTGACACCAACCTGGCCAGCGTCTCGAACCGCGATCGGCCGTGTTGACGAGGGGTGGCCATGGGCAAAACGCACGTCTCGCGCCATGGTTGGGGAGAGGGGTGGGGAGGCGAAGGACAAGGAAGGCAGCAGGGAGAAGAGGAAGATGAACAGGAGGATAGATGGATGGAGTACCTGTGAGGAAGGCGTGGGCAACGCCAATAGCGACTCACCACGTCGACTTCCTTCCAAGGAAGGGTGTGTTTGTGTGAATTGGAGGCGAATCGGGGGCAGCAGCCGCAAGCTCTTCATGGTGATCAGACACCCAACTTCGTCGTTCGCCGGGCATCAGCACGTGCTTACGTTGACGGCGGTGGCCACCCGCCAAACGACTTGCGCCAAACGACGTGTCATTGAACTAATGCACTTGGTTGTGCGGCTGAATGCCCTGGGCGCGCTCTGCGGTCTTCAATCGTGGCTGCCCGAATCTGCCCTCCAAGATTTGAGACGAGGTAGGGGGATGAGGTGACGAGGCGAGTTAAGATGGCATGGGGTTCGCTCTGCGGTCCCGCCGAGCTCATAACAAGCCTGCGAGCAGAGCGGCAGACACGAGCTCCGCTCCGATATGGCCCGAAGAAAACACAACGGTAGCGGTCATGGTGACGAGGGAGATGAGGGGGAGGGATGAGGTGAAGGCGGGGTGGGTGGGTCGAGGAGTACCGCGGACCATTGGGGGATAGGTTTGTAGGCATTGACGGTATCACCCCCTTCCCCTTCTCCGTTTCCTTTCCTCCCTCCCTCTCTCCTCCCCCGTCTCTGGATCTCCCTCGCACACCCATCTTCCTCCTCCTCTCTCCCTCGTTCTCTCATCCTCCTCCTCCTCCTCATCTTGCTCCTCGCCTCTCCTCCCCGTTTCTAACTACGTTTTCTCCCCCGCGGAGAGGAAGACGAGACGGGGAGGGGGGACGCGGAGGGGGGAGAAGGCAAGCTAGGTGCGCTCGCGTCAACATCTGACATCCTACCCCTCCCTCCCATCCCTTCCCATTGAGCTACTTCATTGTCCTCTCACCGAATCGGGCTTCGCATCTGACCCTGTTACCTAAGAGGGAAAGGAGGAGGACGACGGCGCGATGAAAACGAAGACGACGGGACCAACGCTGCAGCGGGAGCACCATTGTTGAAGAGCCGAAGAACGCCACTGGAGCGGAGCATATCATAGCATGGGGCCGGGGACCGTTGCACTGCAGCGGCAGCACGATTTGGAACGACCAGCGGCGCGGAAAATAGGACGAACGCTGCAGCGGGAGCAACATTCTGAAGGACCGGAAAGACTCGGATTTTCAAAAACATAAATGAAAACCAAACTCCCGGGAATCCTGTGCGGAAAAGGACGCCGCCCAAAAGGGGGGGGGGGCTTTCTGCGGCCCCAAAAATCAACGAATCGACACCGGATGTGTAATCACCTCCAATGTTTTTGCCGGGGATCATTTTCTAGATTTGGGGCTTCTTAAAAAGGATCGAAAACGTCGGCGCTGCAGCGGGAGCACGTTTTGGAACAACGAGAGGCGCAGAAATTGGGCCAGCGCTGCAGCGGGAGCACGATTCGGAACGAGCGGGAGCGCGGAAATGAGGCCAGCGCTGCAGCGGGAACACGATTCGGAAGGAGCGGGAGCCCGAAAATTAGGCCAGCGCCTCAGCGAGAGCAGCATTTTAGAAAAAAACACAAGCGAAAACCCAACTCCGGGGAATCCTGTGTGTAAAAAAACAGTACGCGGGGGGGTGCCGAATATCTTCCGGACGCCATCAGGGGAAGTGGGAGAGTAGTATTCATATTGTGTAATTGTAGAGGGGGGGGAAAATCAGTTGGACTTTACAATGCAGAGGGGGAGGGCAGGGGAAGAGGCGCTGGGGGAGCAGGGAGAGAGAAGTGCTCGTCTCCCCGTCGGGAGAGCAAGGGAAGGGAAGGAGCGGGCTCCTCATCGGCCCCTGCGAGCCTTGTCCCGACCCTCTCCCACTGCTGCCCTGGCTCCTCTTGCCGCTATCGCTGCTGCTGCACTTCCATGCCCTCCCACGTGCCCCGCGACGGTCGACGCGCGAATGGCTGCCGCCTGCGTGGTCGTCACATCGCCGGCTTCGTTCCTCGGGCGGCGGTGCCAGGGCGCAGATCGTCAGCGCGCACGGGGGCGCACGACACGTTCAATGTATCCTGAACTGGGTGCCCGCATCGCGCCGCGCAGAGTTCGAAACTTGGTTACATTCGCGACACTGCGCAGCTGCCCGAGAAGAGCAACTCTCTGGCCCAGATCGCGAAGCGCGAAATGCCTTTGCCCTCGCGCACCTGCGGGTGACACAAAACCTCGCGAGTTTTCACAAAACGAATGGCGCAATGGCTGCTTAGAATATGTCGCTTGAGTGAGCCTCCGTCGGAGATCTGCTGACCCAGGTCAATGCAAACCCAGGTCGGTCGGGCTTTGAAGATCCTGAAAGATCCTGCAGCATCCTGCGCGCTAGCCTGGGTCTGACTTTGCAGGATCCTGCAAGATCTGGCGCTCTGGATGACCACCGTTCGCTTCGGGGGGGTCGAAAGGGTAGGATAGCAAAGGGCAGAGCAAGGAATCAGCTCAAGTAGCTGGTTTTCCTGGCGCCTCCTGGCGCCAGGATGCGCCCATACATTGAGGAATGGGCCCGGCGGCGGGGCCGAAACCAGCTGCATGCAGCATGTTTCGTAACCCTAGGTTGCACGCAAGAGTGACCCTGGGCAAGAATGCCCTTCGGTGCGCGGCTTTTGGGGGTCCGCGGGGTGACCAAACACGGGCGCGCAAGACGCTACTATCGCATCGCGCTCGGCGATCGGGGGGCCCCGATGTGCTCGCACCAAAGGTCACTCTGGTGAAGGGTCACTCTTACGTCTAATGGAACCCCGTCCTTTCCCTAACTTATCCTGCCCTTTCGTCTGGCCCGATCGGCCCCCGGCTCCCTCGGGGATCTACTAGCCCGGGTCAATCCGAACCCAGGCCTGTCAGGCTCTGCAGGGTCCTGCAAGATCCTGCAGGACCCTGCACCCAAGCCCGGGTCACTGCAACCCTGGCTCTGCAGGATCCTGCAGGATCCAGCGCTCTGACTGACCTCCGTTTCCATTGACCCCCGTCTCCAGGCTTCCGACTCCCAGGGCGCCCAGCTTCGCGCCCTCGCGCTGCGCGAAGCGCGAGCAACTTCGCCCTCTCGCGCCGTCCCCCCCGGGGGGAGCTCGGCTCGGCTCTGCGCTCGGGGATGCATACGGTCAGGCACATGCTGCGCACACCGCACCCCTGCGTGGAACTCCTGGCGCGTCCCTCAACAGACCGACGAGCATCAGGGGCACATGCTCAGGGCGGCCCTCGGCCAGTAGGCGAGAGGGTGCCCCGTTGAGCGGGAAGGCGCCCGCGTATGATGGGCGGGACAGTGCCGCGAAGTGCGAAGCGCGAATAACTTTGTGCCCTTGAGGGCGGCCCCTGCGACTCCGAGCCCAATCTTTCGGCCTTCGGCTCCTGCTGCCCGCTCCGCCTCCGCCCCCAACCCCGCCGACGAAGCGGAAGTCCCTCCAGGAGGAGCCCCTCTGGAGGTCCCAAGGCGCCTCTGAAGGCTTCTGGAGGCGAAAGACTGAGGGGGCCCAGGGGCTTTAAAATCAAGAAGCACAATTCCCAGAATTGCCCCATATTTTCTTGAACTTAGTCTTTCCATCCATGTCCCATATTCCCCCCTTATCTTTTCACGGGAATCGATGATTATTTGTGTCTGTGTGCTCTTCCCTCCTGAAACACATCGACCAAGCATCTCGATTCTCGATCATGACAACAACTCTACCTCCGAGCTTCAAATTCGCCTCTCCTTCCCTTCTGAGAGCCGCGGCTTCCGCAGCTTCGCCCTTCAAGCATTAAAGGGCGGAAGCTGACGCTCTTTCCCCCGCATCGAAGAACGAAAACCATGCCAATATCGGTGCTCGATGTATATCACAAGTCCCACCGCGCTCGCAACTCCGCCGCGGAGGCCCTCCATCGAGGCTGGGCGGCCGCTGCTGAGACGGCCCGCTCGCTGTGGAGAGTGCTGGGTGCGCATGGCTCTGATGCGACTTTCTGTTTTTGTTCTCTCTCTCTCTCACTCTTTCTCTCTATCTATGTTCTCTCTACGTGTATGTATGTATGCATGCATGCATACATTCATGCAGGTATGTATGTGTGTGCGTGCTTGTATAACTCTATATATATATGTATGTGTGGGTATGTATGTATGCATGCATGTCATAATGTATGTTTGTATATATGTATGCATGCATGCAGGTGTAAGTGTATGTGTATGTGTAGGTGTACGTGTATGTATATGTATATGTATAGTTATGTAAGTATGTATGGATGTATGTATGTGCACATGTAGATATACATGTATGCATGGAAAAGGTACTATACGTGTCGATGGCGAGAGCGGGGAACACGAGGGCCTGGGATCCTTCTGGGGCCCAAGGTCTGGCGCACGTCGGCGCGGTTGCCCCAGAAAGCGCCGACCACGGAATTTCGTGCGGTGAGGGCAACAGATATGAGGAACCCGTAGGGCAGGAACCCAGGGTCTGGATACTGGTGGAATACCACTTTGAGGCTTGGCCATGGACATCACCGCCACCCTCGTCAGATAGGGAATCCTCCAGGGCCCAAAGCCTCCTGGGCACATTCTTGAACGAACGCCCCCGCCGTATTTGATGCTATTCGGTCGACATTTCGGCTACCGCATACATGCAAGCGCGAGTCGTGCGATGAGCTCTTTGCGAGCCTGACGCACGCTGACCGCCTCGAGGCATGGTGGAACGATACCGTTCCGACCGCGAAGCGCGACTGTCTTTGAGACCACGGGGGCGACCTAGGGACGATAGATCAAGAAAATTGAAACAAGCGTGATCTGAAGTGGCCGTTTCTGGAAACCTTGGAACCAACAATGTTGCCACCTCTTGGGGGCGTATGTTTTACTTACGCCGCCTTCCGCAGGCGGGAGCGGCGACGTTTTACTTCCGCCGGCTTCCGCCGAGGAAGAGATGCCAACTCCTTCGATCCTCGAAGGCGAGGCCCTGCCTGGAACGCCTCAAGTCTCGCCAGACCGAACCTCCACAAACCTTCTCACGGGGACACCTCCCTCAAGCCCTCGAGCCGGCACCCACAGAACGCAGAACCTTCGCCGACATTCAGAACTTGTAGACTATCCAAACCCTGGCGAGGCGAAAGAGGAGGAGAGGGGAGATCCTGCCGTCGAATTCTAGCTCTGCCCCGACGCCGCTGGCGGTGCCGCCACTGGTGCTGTCGGCGGGGGAGGCGTCGATCTTGACCGAGGCCCTGCCGTGCCAGTGGGGGGTAACAAAAACAAAGCAATGCCCCCGGACTTCCAGCGTCGTGGACTCCAACAGTAACAAGGCGGGCCACTTCTTCTGAGCCTGGACCTCTGTGACATCGTCCAGTGCTGCGGAGCCAGCAAACGATAAAACCCGCGAGGCGAAATCCATGCGAATGACGAGGTCGAGAGCTCGGCGGCCCCACGCATTCACAGAAGGAGGGCGTCGGATGTCTGGGCCTTCGGATCATTTCGATGACACCCCCATTCTTATGAGGAAAATCCTTGAGGCCTCGCGCAGCAACTTGAGACCGAATTTACGTCGGTCCACGTCAGATTTACGTCGGCATCGAGGACACACCCTGGGGGATGTCTTGCACATGCCAAACACTGTGGGAACAGAAACCAATTTCGTACTGGCTGTGGTCGATGTGGCGTCCCGGGACGGCCAAATCGACCACAAGCACAACCAAAGTGCTCATGCCGAGGTCGGTGGGTTCTCCCTCATGGGGTCCTCCCGAGAAATCCATTTAGTTGTTGTTGTGGTTCTTTGTTGTGCCCAGATCTCCTCGTTCACAATGAAAGGAGCGTGAGGCACTCTGCTCTGCCTGACTTCCTTCTCCGTGCCACATGGAGGAACTACGAATTGCTGCGACTGGCATCGATCGCAGTGACATTATTGACGTAAAGGTGGAACGGAGGGACCGAGCTGAGGATAACGGCGACGATGGCAATCAGAGGTAGCAGCGCGTACCACAAAAATGGGCCTGGCGAACCTGAACTGGCGTGCACGCGCACGCGAAACGTTTGTGGCAATAACTTTCCGGGTGTCTTCCACAATAGGAGGCCTTCCGAACAAACGGTGGCCCCATGGAAAACTCTCCAAGAATGGGCCCTGGAGCCTGAGCAGCCGGTGACCTGCACTGCTGGAGCCCACAGCAGAAGGCGTAGCCACGAAGTCAGCAACGGCCTCATGTCGATGACGATGTACTGACGGCGCAAGGACGTGCACTCGTCACGGTGACGACGGTAAGTATGATCCTTGCGGCGATGATGAAATATGTTGATGGGCGAGTCTGCGAATGATTGTGGCGATGGTCAAGATGAGATGAGCCCAGTGATATGATGGTGAAGTCGACGGCTACGAGGAATCTGACCGAGGACGTGGCCGACGTCACGACAACAATGCTGATACAGACAGGCTGAGCACCCTTTACCTTGGAGTAATCTTTGGGAGTACGCAGTGCTCCAGGCCCGCGCAGACCTCCACGGGACTCCAGATCTTCGAGGCCGCCTCCTCTACGAACTTCTGCAGCATCAGCACCGCAACGTCCCTGTCGCGATTGCCCTTGATCAGAGACCCGATGTACTTGATCGACTTCTGGATCGGTTCGGCCAATTTCGAAGACGTCGGACAGGTGACTGTCCGCTCTGGACTGCAAAACAGCGCTCGCGACTCGTTGGTAGCGCGGAAGCTGCGCCGCAGCAGCTGCTCGGAGACAAACTGGTGCGCCACGGACTTCTTGGAGCAGGAGGCCCTCAGGACTGCCAGCAGCTGTGCGAGCGCCTCCCCGGGCGACGTAGGCGCTGGGATGCTGGCACGAAACAGCTGGTCGTCGCTGTTCGGGGAGACGTAAGACTCGGGTTGCGGGGACTCCGGCTGGCCCCGCGGGCCGCCATGAAACTGACGCGACCCAGTCTCAAATTTGACGCGAGCTCCCGCTGCAGACATCCCACAGAAACTGGACAGTCAAAATCCAGGGCGGGCTCGTCAAACAGCATCATTCGGCGAACCCGAGTTCTGGCCTACTCGAGTGGTACGTCTCCCTGAGCTGTGGTCGGAGAAGAAGCTATACGTCGCGGAAGGCGACGAACTCTCCGGCACGTGGATAAAATGAACCCAAAACGGGGGGACGCCAAAGGGGCTTCAAGCAGAATCAGGCCCCGACCTCCGACGCCATGCCACAACACACGACAGGGGGCTGTCGTGAGCGTCGGCACGAGGGCCCCTTGCAGCCCTTGGGTCCATCAATGCTTGAACCGGTGAGGTGTTCATGTTCGCGTCCTCGAGGCCGTGCACCCGAGTAAATTACGCAATATCTGCGTCATCGAGACCACGATCCCCCGTGCATTACACGTGCCCGAGGCTACGGCCTCTTCGTAAATTTAACAATAGTCGCGTCTCCGAGGCGACGATCCCTCGTAAATTACGCAGTGTTCGCATCCCCGAGCCCACGATCCTTTGTGAATTACGCCGTTTTCGCAAGAAGTCACTGTAATGATACGTCATACCCCAGTTGGTTCCAATGACTGTCTCCGCGTCCGCAGGTTGATGTCTGCGCATGTCTTGCATAACTAGGCATGGCGCACATGGCCCATAGAACCGCTTAGGCCCACAAGACCCGTAATTCGAACAGCGTCTATGTGTCGGCGGAGGCTCAGAAGTCTCACGAAACCCATCGATTCAACAACGGCGATCACAAGACGAAGACCGAAAAATCAATGACGGCAACATACCAGCCCTGTGTTCGAGAATTGAGCCCGTACCAAGCCACTCGAACCGAACCGGCCTGCGACCCGGATCCGCCCGCACCGAATCCGTCCGAAGCTTCGCTGCCCCGAGACGCAGCACGCAACCCGCAGGCGTGTTGTCACGAAGCTCAGCACGTAGACCGAACCCGTAGCTCTGGCGCGACACGTTCGCCCAAACGCGGGCCACTGGGTGCCGAACCAACGCGCAGCGTGTCAGCACAGACGTCTTGCACACGGCACACGCGTTGCGTTACGCCACGGGCGTGCCGAGGCAGCAAAGGGGACCTCGAGCGGCCGCGGCTTCCTGTGGTAGCGCAACTCCTTCGGCATCGACCGGCTCCTGGCCACCCGGCGGCGCTCAACATTGGACGCCCGCGCTGCGGCCGTCGCCGCGCCGACACGACACGACCCTGCCGAGGAGAAAGCCAGCTCGAGATGGACCCGGGGTGCCCAGGTCAACGACGAAGTGGTTTTTACACCAGGGAGACGTAGGACTCGGGTTCGGGGGACTCGGGTTGGCCTGACGGGGCCGAAATCGGCATGTCGATCCGAAAGCACCGAACAGCCCAAACCGAACAAGCCCAAAGAGAGTAGGTCAGCGGGGGCGCCGCCAGGAGGCACGCGTGCCCCGCCGCCCCCAGCCCTTCTCCGAGAGGTGGGAGGGATCTGGGAAGGGCGTCGTCTGGGAGGGATGAGCCCGGCAAGACGAAGCCAGGACGAAGATAGCATCGGGTGAGGTTAAATCGAAAATTTCTGAAACCTGGCGGCTCTGGAGGATGTCTCGGGCGCCGCGGCCTTCTTAGAGTGTTCCGGAACGGATTATCCTCGTCCTAGCCCCGTCCGGCTCAGGCAGTTGGTTTTGAGAAAGGGGCGGCGGAGGGATGGAGAAGGGGAAGACTCCTACCTCGCTGGTGGGGAAAAGTCGCTGCAGGTCGTAACAAACTCTGCCAGGTCCCACGTGGCGACTTGCCCTGGGCTCTCGGGAGCGCCGTTGGCCGCTACTGGGCCCGACTGGTCCCACCAGCAGAATGGGGGTGTGCGCTTTTTGAAGCGCTGGCTCTTTCCAAACAGCATCTTGTGACAATTCTGAGAGATCCCCCCCTCCCCTTCACCTTCCCAGAGAGTATGCCCTCCTCCAACGACGAAAGGGTGATGGTGCGTCCAATCTGGATTCGTATGGCTGTATACACGTTGTGTGGTATGCGCCTCAGCGTGCGGCATGCATAGCACATGCACCAGGTGCAGGTGGAACTCTGCACTCTTCTCTGATACGCGCACAACCAGACAACTGCAATTACCCAGGCAATATTCATCTGAAGTCACGAGTTTTGATATTTTCAAAAAACCATCCTGTGGTGTTGGGTCCTCGTTTTGAAACCGCAACGCCCCGCGTTCACTCCTCCATCCTTCCCCTCTCCTTCCGCCTCCCATTCTTGCCTCGGCCATCCGCATGTCCTCTCAGTCACCATCATCATCACCATCCTCGTCGTCATCGTCGTCATCATCATCGTCATCAGCATCAGCAGCATCATCACCATCACCATCACCAGCACCAACACCATCCTCATCCTTATCCTCATTAACATCCTTACGTATCCGCATCGTCGTCAGACTCAGCATCAGCATCAGCAGCATCATCACCAATATTATCATTAAGCACAGCATCATCATCAGCATCATACTTAACGTACGTATCATCGTCACCATTATCAACATCACCATCCTCATCCTTATCCTCATCCGCATTCTTATCATCATCGTCATGAGACTCAGCATCAGCATCAGCAGCGTCACCACCACCATCAGCATCAACAACAGCATCATCAGCAGCATCATCACAGTCATGATCATGATCATGATCATGATCATCACCATCATCATCAGTATCATCATCATCAGCATTATCATCATGAGCATCATCATCCTCATCATCGTCCTTCTCATCCTCATCCTCCTCCTCCTCCTCCTCCTCCTCATCATCACCATCATCATCATCGTCACCACCACCAGCATCATTTCACCATCATCACCAGCATCGTCATCACCATCATCACTATGATCATCATTAGGATCATCATTAGGCAAGCGCGTTCAACTACTCGCAAAGTCACTACTCGCAATTGGCCTGGATCAGCCGCGGAGGATTTACGACAAATTACATCGAGGCGAACGTTTTTTTTTGTTTTTTGTTCTGACGTTTGCGAGTAGGCACTTTGCGAGTAGTGGAACGCGCTCGGTGAATCATCACCATCACCATCATCATCATCATCACCATCATCATCATCACCATCGTCATCGTCATCGTGATCTTCAGCACCATCCACATCATCATCAGCACCGTTATCATCATCATCAGCAGCAGCAGCAGTATCATCATCATTATCATCATCCTCATCATCCTCATCCTCATCCTCATCGTTATCCTCATCCTCATCATCATCCTTATCTCCATCCTCCTCCTCCTTCTCCTTCTCCTCCTCCTCGTCCTCCTTCTCCTCCTCCTCCTCGTCCTCCTTCTCCTCCTCCTCCTCATCATCATCATCATCGCCACCGCTATCGTCACCACCGTTGTCATCATCACCACCGTCGTCATCATCATACCTCAGTCTGCTCTCCGAAGGTCCCAGTGGAAGGTTTCACATGCGTCCCCAGGCCCATTTCGGCACACACACACACACCTCGCACGATTCGAGGCCCCATGGGGAACTCCACCGTAGGCCGCGGTGGCTGGAATTGCATGCGCCCCCCTCGCCCATGTCGGCACACCCCTCGCACGTTTGGTGGCCCCATAGAGAACTCCACCGAAGGCTGCAATGGCAAGAGTCACATGCTCTCATTATGGCAGGCCCCTCGTACGTTTCGTGGCCCCATAGGGAGCTACACCGAAGGCCGCAGTGGCAAGAATGACATGCGCCCTCCAGCCCATTTCGGCAAACCCCTCATACGTTTCGTGGTCCCGTAGGAAGCTTTACTAAAGGCTCCGGCACACCCCTCACACGTCTAGCGGTCCCATAGGAACTCCACCGAAGGCCGCAATGGCAGGAGTCACATGCCCCCACCCCGGCACATTTCGGCAGACCCCTCACACGTTTCGTGGCCCCAGAGGAGCTCACCGGAGACCCCAGCGTCAGGAATCACATGCGCCCCCCCCCGCCCATGTCGGCACACCCCTCACACGCTTCGCAGCCCCACCAGGAGCTCCACCGAAGGTTGCAGTGGCAAGTACCACAGGACCCCCTAGGTCCATGTTGACACACGGCATGCCCCTCACACGTTTCGTGGCCCCAGAGGGAGCTCCACCGAAGGCCCCAGCGTCAAGAATCACATGCGCTCCCCCGCTCATTTCGGCACACCTCTCACACGTTTCGCGGCCCCATAAGGAAATCCACCGAAGGCCGCAGTGGCAGGAATCACATGCGCCCCCCAGCCCGTGTCAGCACACCCCTCACACGGTTCGAGGCCCTACGGGGAACTCCGCCGAAGGCGTCAATTTCAGGAATCACATGCGCCCTCTGCCCACTTCGGCACACCCCTCACACGTTTCGTGGCACCCATCGGGAGTTCCACCGAAGGCCGCAGTGGCAGTAGTCACATGCTCCCCAAGGCCCATTTCGGCACCCCCTTCGCAAGCTTCTTGGCCTCACAAGGAGCTTCGCCGAAGGCCCCAGTGGCAGGGTTCGCATACGTCCCCAGGCCCCCTCGCACACTTCGTGGCATCATTGGGGTCTCCACCAAAGAGACCAGCGACAACGCTCACATGCGTCCTCAGGCCCGTGTCGGTACAAATCTGATACGCTTTGTGGCCTCAGAAGAAGCTGTTTCGCTGCACCCTGGCTGTTTCGGTGCACCCGCGCACATTTCGTGGCCCCATGGGGAGCTTCACCGAAGGCCACTGGAATGCGCCCCCCGCCTTTCGTTGCCCACTCCCGCTGCCCGCCGCCCCCTGCCCGCGCCGCCCTGTGCTTCGTCCTTCCTGTGGCGAGCTGCCTATGAGGGCAAAGGCTACGTCCCACGCTACTCACAGTTTGTTCGCCCACCTTCATCGCTCCATCTCCCTTGCGGCACGCGCAGCTGCAAGAGTTGGGTCCTTCGCCAGGCTCACGTCTTCTGTTTACTCCCCCTCTCTCTCTCTGTCTCTCCGTCTCTCCGTTTTTCCCTCTCCTCCATGGCTCCGACCACTGGGGACTGGATTCGGAGCCTCCCGCACGGGTGACTTCGGCCCCGGGGGGTGCCAAAACGCATGCGCCTCTCGCGTGCAACTGGGCCGTGAGCCTTCCGGCCCTTCTTGCCATTGGGGCCTTTCTGTGCACCCCTTGGCGGAGGCCCTCAAGAACACGCCCCCCAGGGCTCGACCCTCCGTCCTTCAGACTGCTCTCGGGAGCGGCCAAGAGGGGGGTGTCCAAGAGGGGGGGCTGCAAATCATGACCAGCGGCATGTGCGCGGCCCAGCGGGGGGGCCAGGGACGTAATGAAATAAGAAGAGGCGCCAGAAAATCTGGGGAAATATCATGGCCCCCGCCATGATATCCACCCCCCCTAGTCATCACCCCCCTCTTTTCCGCCCCCGATGCTTGGAGCCCCCTGGGATGAGCAGCACGTCTCCGGGGCTCAGCTGCGCCCGCAGGAAGCTGGCGTTCGCCACGGCGGGGCACTCGGCCAGCAGCTCCGCCCGCGGCCGCCGCAGGTCGAGGGGGCTGCTGCGCAGCCCCGGGTGCGCCCGGGGGTAGAAGGCCAGGTTCCAGCAGTCCCGCGGCGGCGCCAGCAGCACGCTCTTTGGGGGGGCCGCTCGCTACGTCCTGTCCTCCCCGGCCCCTCTCTCCCCCCTCCGGCTCCTCCCTCGGGGGGGGGGACGAACCCAGATCCCCTCGAGTCATGAAGACTCATCACCGAAATTGTTCGACATTTTCGGGCCCTGGCTCTGGGCCTCGGGATCGGCATTTTCGGGCCCTGGGGGCCCTTACTGGAAACTGGTCCTGCGGAATAGATCGAAACCTCTGGGGGTCGACGTCGGGGGTCTGGGTAGAAGAAAGGGGGATCAAATGGACTGGTGCGTGTAACGATGGTCCCGTGCCTTGTCCCCAGCCGCGTGGACGAGGTAGTTCCAGTGACTATCGAAATGCGCGTTGTTGGCGATGCCGGGCGACGAGAGCCAGATGTGCACGGCCAAGGTGTCCAGCAGCTGACCGGTCACCCCCTTGCTGACGGATGACGCGTAATGTGCCATGAAGCTTCCCACCGTTAGGGGCGCCTGTCCCAAGCCAGCGGGGATCTTTACGCCACCATGGCGAAAACGTAGGCGTGCGAAGATTTTCAGTCGTCCTGGGCTAGGCGTCCCCCACGGTGGCACACTTCGTTCTCACAAAGGGGTCGGACGCCGTGAACCAACCACAACGTCGTTACGAAAGGCAGAAGCGGAACTCTCGAGCCACTCATTGGGCCGCACTTTTCCAGCCGGGCCGAGTCGTGAGGATACCAGGGACTGAAGCAACAATAAAAGACACCAGCATTGTCTCTACTCGTGACAATCATGTTGTTGTAGTTGTTGATGTGGTTGTTGTTGTGGTGTGTGTTGTTCTTGTTGTTGTTGTTGCTGCTGCTACTTGTGTTGTCGTTGTTAGTGTTGTTGTTGTTGTTGCTGTTGGTGTTGTTGTTGTTGTGGCTGCTGCTGCTGCTGTTGTTGCTGTTCTTGTTGCCGTCTTCTCTAACCGTCCCCCCCCCTGCGCAGGAGTACGGAGCAATGAGACCATCCACACACTCTCGACCCTCCTCACCCTCATCCTCGCTCTCCATCACTCGCCCTCCCCCTTCGTTTCATCGTCATCGCTCTCGTCCTGACCCTGACCGCACTCTTTCGTCCCTTGGCCCACGAAGGAATCCCACTTAGAAATTAGAATCTGAACGGCAACTGGTAAACCCTGCGAAAGCACAGTGAAGTGGACACCCCGTCTTCTGTGGACCTCCAGCTTGCTCAAGAGGGCACCCTGACTTCGTGCTCCCGCCTAAGAGGTGGAAGCCGAACGGCAATGGGCACACCCCGCGAAACACACCAGAGGAAAGACCTCCCCTCCTAATAGTCAGTCCGTCCGCATAGTAAGGACGAGCGACGCTCCAGGGTTACCCTTGCATCCGTCCCCTTTGGCTCATCCTTTGCCGCCTTCGCTCGCCGCGCCCCGCCCGCAAAGTGTCAGCATGGCCGTCCAAGGCCCTTGCATCCTCATCGCGCGTCCTGGTTATACGGGTTGACTGTATGATCCGTCAGTCAGGGGCTCCCCCATGGATGTATCAGATCCGAGCGGAAATCCTCCCCTCCTCCACCTCCACCTCCTGGAACCTACTCAGCGCCCCTCATCTGGAGTCAACCTTGGGGGGATCCCCTCCTGCTTCAGCACCACCCACACCTCGTCCTGCGTTCCCTGTCCCTGCGTCGATGGCCATTGCTTGTTACTATGTACTCCCACCCTGGGCCTCTGCCGGTCGATGGCAACCCAATCTGGCAGGTCCCACCCCACACGTACACACGAAACAAACTTGAAGGGGCCCTGGGACACACAAATAAACAGACACAAATAAAAGGATCCCCCATATTTTTTCATATTTTCTGGGTTTTTGTCTTCCCCCCCAATTCCCATATTTTCCCATATTTTCCTGGGAGTCGACGATTAATTGTGTCTGTGTGTTTTTTCCCTTCTGAAAACTATCTGTTTCGTCTCAACATGGACACTCTGTCATCCATGTTGCAAAGTGGTGGCGCACGTGTGGCGGAGCGCACATCCCGCGCGAGAGGCCGAACCCGTAGCTCTTGTCTCGGCGCCGCGCATGTTTGTCACTCGCCAATTTGGGGGTGCTCGCGCGGGTGGGCGACTAGTTGTCCCCGCCCAAATTCCGTGCGCATATGGGTCGGAAGGTGGCGTTCCAGCGCGGGCGCGGCGCATGTTTCGTTAGCCGAAGGGCGCGGAAGCGAGAGCGGCAGCGGGGCCGCGCGATAGCGGGCGAAATGCCGAGATCGCCCAAACGCAGCGCAGTTTGTAAATGAAAGTGGCAATGCTGCGGCAGCGCGGCGCATGACTTGTAGTCGCCGCGCCCATCGAAGTTTTGCCGCTCCCGCCCCAGCGCGGCCCGCGTAGTTTTCTCCCCGCCAACTCGTCGGACGCGGGACCTCGCGCGGAATGCTTTCCGTTTGCGAGGTGGAAGCGCCTTCTAATCCCAATATCAAATTGTGCCACAATTGTCTCCCATGTCGTGGGAGAAAAGATGGGAGTAGGCGGGGCCCTCTGACTCGCGCGACCAGATTGACTGGATTCCTACGCCTACTCCTAATACTACTCGTCGGCACATGCACCACGCGGGAGAATTTGTCAACCGCCAGATCCACGCGCCACCCCGATTGGAACCGATCCTGTCTGGCCCTCCTCGATCTCTTCCTCGTCCTCCTGATTCTGCTGTTGCTTCTCCCAGCCCTCCCCGTCCTACTTATGCTATGCTACTTTTGCTCGGCATCCTATGCCGACTCCTCCTCCTCCTACTCATGAGCGGGGTCCAAGCTCCGACCCCTAAATCAATTTCCCTAACTCTATGCGTACTCCCATTCTGCCACCTAGTTGGCCGATAGCCCATCCATTCGGGTGACTCCACCCAGTCCGTCAACAACGACTCAAAGCCTACGTTTCCCCTTCCAGCGTGGACCTTTTGTCGTCGACGTTGCAAACATGTGGCCGGAGTGGCAGGCGGCGCGCATCGCGCGCGAAAACGCAAAATGTCGAAATCGTCTCAGTGCCTCACATGTGCGTTTGAAAGTTTCGCCGAGAGCGATCGGGCGAAAGGCAGCTCTCGCCCAATCGCCGCGCGCATCCCGTCTGAAAATTGCGCTCCAGCTTGAGCCTAGGGCTCCCAACTTCGCGCTTCGCGCTGCGCGAAGCGCGAATAACTTCGCGCTCTCGCGCCGCCCTCCCAAAGGGAGAATAGGAGGACGAGGAGGAGGGGGAGAAGGAACGAGGACCGCGAAGCGCGAAGCGCGAATAACTTCGCGCCCTCGGGGGAGCCCTTGTTGAGCTCGGCGCATCTTTGTATCGCTCGCCATGCCGTTGGACGGCCACGCGCGAGCGGGCGTTGCGGCTCTCACTGAAACGCCAGGCAGATTTCGCTTCAAAAAATGGCGCTCCCGCCACGGCGCAGCACAATGACGACCGACGTTTCGATGCGGCGGGCCAGCGGCGCGAACACATCTGGCACGGGCAAGCGACACATCTCGACTCGCCCCGCGCCCGTGGAGCCATATGGGGCGGAGATGCCGATCGTTTGCAACATAGTTGCGACCGGCATGCTCGAACAAAACAAGTCCTTTCGAACCAAGCAGCACTATTGACAATCGAAGGCGACGGAACGGATCGAAACCGTTCTAGCGGAAATGCAACTCGTCTTTCTCCCCTTCGGTCCCAATGCTCCTTCTTCCCTACCTCAATGCAACTCGTCTTTCTCCCCTTCGGTCCCAATGCTCCTTCTTCCCTACCTCATCCTCCTCCTCTTTTCTCTCGCCCCTTTTCCTCCACCTCCTCCTCCTCCTCTTCCCCCTCCTGTTCTCCTTCATCTTGCGTCCTCCTCGCCACCGTCTTTTCTCTTCTTCATCACCCTCGTGTCTTTCTTCTCCTCTTTCTCATTCCTCCTTCTCCCCCTCCCTCTTACGTACACTCCTCCTCTTTCTAACCCCTTCCTCGCAGAAGTGCTGGCGCGCTGGCGTCTGCCCACGCTTGTGCAACCCGCGCCAAATCTTTCCAATGGCTCCTAAGTTCGCGCTTCGCGCTGCGCGAATCGCTTCACGCTCTTGCGCCCCCCCCCAGGGGGAGAAGAGGAGGCTGAGGAGGAATCGGAGCCGAACCGCGAAGCGCGAATCACCTCGCGCCCTCGAGGGCGCCCTTGCTTTCGGGGCCTGTGGCTCGCCACAGGCAGCCTACTCATTTCCTCCTCCCCTTTTTGAGACGCAGCCAGGACGAGGATAAATTCGGGTGAAGATAAACTCTGAGCTCTGGCGGCTCTGGAGGAGGTCTCGGGCGCTAGGGCCTTCACAGAGCTTTCCAGAACGCTCTGGAACGGAATTATCCTCGTCCTAGCCCCTCCCGACTTTTCCTCCACCTCTTTCTCCTGTTGCCCCAAATATTCCGTCCTCCTCATCACCCCGCCTCCTCTCTCATCCTCCTCACGCCTCCTCGTCCTCCTCACCCCTCCTCTCTCATCCCGCCTCCTCGCTCATCCAACTCACAACTCCCAGCATGATCTCGTCCGTGGTTGGACCGTTGCAGTAGTTTCACGTCGCCCCGAGGTCTGGGCTTCTTGATTCTCTTAATCAGTGTCGAAGGGGGGTGTACTCTCTCTCTAGCTGGGGCCAGTCTCGCCACGCCGGCGCACCGCGCTGAAGGTTGGAGCGCCAGGGGGCCGATCTGGAGCTGTCGGCGGGGGCGGCGAACCCCAGCGTGTTCTTCCGCAGAAGCGCCGAATGTACGTCCGGGTTCGTCCGCCGGCCTTCGAGCCCAGCTCGGGGCTGCCGAACAGGTCCGCCGCCGGCGGCACCGCCTCTGGGCTGCACGCAGGAGCGGCCCGAGGCAAGAGTGACCTCTGGTGCGCGGCTTGCGATGCGACAGTGGCGACAGTGCCGGCCTGCGTGCTTCCAGAGCTCCGAGTTGTCAGGGCACGGGGTGGTCAGGAATGACTCCTGATTCGAGCTCCCCGCTTTCGCGCCGGAGTTGCCCTGGATTGCACTCACCTTGAGCATTCCTCGATCAATTTCTGCCCCATGTAGACTTCGTGCAGTGTTCTCAAGGAGCACGAATGATTCCAGATGAAGTGTTTCCAAGGCTTTCCCCTATCACGTGTGGGACCCCGAACGGGGCCCTACCCAGACCAGGTCAATCCCTGAGATCCGCTGACGCTCAGCTATTAAAACATCGTGAAAATCACCACCGAAGCCCCAGGCCCCATCCTTCTGCGCAATTTCTCGGCGATCTGTGAGGGCTCTGGGGCCCGGAATCATGCGAACACGTTCGGCCCGAACAAATTGCGACGCCAGGATCTCAGGGATCCGCCCATCCTGGAACAGATCTATACACTGCCATTGTCCAATTTGGACCATTTCCGTTGACGAGCCCCCCCCCCCCCGTAGAATCCTGTAACATGTCATCCGCCTGCGGCGGAGTAGGTCTCGGCTCCCGCCCACCCCGTTCTCCTTAGTTGTATGAGTGCTTCACCGTATAAGAGCTTACCCCGTACGTTGATTCGCGTGTATTAACTTAATCCGCGTTCTGGTTAAACTTACTCCGCGTCGTCATTCAACAAAAGAAGAATATCTCCTCCGCGTCCCCTGGAACTTACCCCTCCCGTCTTTTACGACCTCAGATCTTGAGGGGTACTTGCCATCTGTGTAGCCTTGCACGAGGGAGTGCGGGCCGCGGGTCCGCGCGGGCCATTTGGAAGTCAACTTGGATAACGGCACATGAAATCGTTAGAGCTCCCAAACTATATATTACCTTTTTAAAATATATTCCTCTTCCCATATTTTCATAAGCCCGGGTGGGGGGAAAACCCTCCCCCCCCCCCCCTAAAACTGGACGCCCGGGATCTGCAGCTTTGGGACCCTCCGGACGGGCCTCGAAGCGGCCCCCTGGGCCTCGCAGGGCGTTTTGCCAAGCCTTCGCAGCACACCCAGGGCGATCAGGGGGGTCACCGGAGACGTCCCAGAGACCCCCAAGACAGCACAAGAGCGCTCCAAGAAGCCGTCATACCCCGAAAGATCGTCCCAAAACTTACCAAGAGGCCTCCAAGAGCACCCCCAAGAAGGCCCCAAGAGGGACAAATCATTGATTCTATATAGGTTTTTGGTGCATTTGGGGTTCTCCTCTTTTCGGCTTCCCGACGCTCCAAGACGGCGGTCTCCTGGGCGTCCGAAGCCGCCTGGGAAGCTCCAAAATCGCCCCACAACCATCCGACAGGGCTTTCAGGCAGTCCAAGAGAGACCCAAAACGGCACAACAGGGGTCCAAAATGGCCCTAAGAGAGCACCATGGCGGCCCAAGATGGCCCCAAGACGCCCTCCGAAGCATTCCAAGTCGTGACTGGGGCGTTCAGGGAGACCGCGGTTAGAGGCAGGTTGGCCTTAGGAAGCCCCAGAGGCCCCCAGAACACACCCAGGAGGCCTCCAGAAGGCTTTAAGAAAGCCTGAGAACTTTGGTGAGGCCCCCAGAGGCTCTCCAAGGAGGAGCCTCCGCAAAAAGAGCTGAGGAGGATGGGGAGAATGCCCAGGTATGGCGAGAATGAGGAAAAATATGCGTGGAGGAAGGACAACGAACAACATTCTTATAACGGCGATGCCGGAAAATGCAGCAAGGAGTTATCGCTAAAGTGTCGGCTTGACCTTCCTGCCAGTTCCGCCTGCATACCAAACTCCAAGGACCAAAGGTGCATGGCGCGAAGCGCCACTGCAGTCTTGTACATATATATATATATACACACAATCTGGGCGGAACGCGAAAGGGGACCCCCCAAAAAACTGGACTCCCGAGATCTGGGGCTTTGGGACCCTCTGGACGGGCCTCGAAGCGGCCCCCCGGGCCTCGCAGGACGTTTTGCCAAGCCTTCCCAGCACACCTAAGGCGATCAGGGGGGCCATCGGAGACGTCCCAGAGACCCCCAAGACAGCACAAGAGCGCTCCAAGAGTGACCGATGTGACCTCCAGATGGCCCAAGAGGCCTCCAGGACGGTCCCAAAGAGGCCTCCAAGAGCACTCCCACGACGGCCCCAAGAGGCACAAATCATGGATTTCCTGTTGGTTTTTGGTGAATTTGGGGGTTCTCCCCTTTTCGGCTTCCCGACGCTCCAAGACGGCGGTCTTCTGGGCGTCCGAAGCCGCCTGGGAGGCTCCAAAATCGCCCCACAACCATCCGAAAGGGCTTCCGAGCAGCCCAAGATGAGCCCCAAAACGGCACAACACGGGTCCAAGATGGCCCTCAGAGAGCCCCATGGCGGCCCAAGATGGCCCCAAGACACCCTCCGAAAAACAACTTTTGTGAGGCCCCCAGAGGCTCTCCAAGGAGGAGCCTCAGCAACAAGAAGCTGCGGAGGATGGGGAGAATGCCCAGGGTATGGCGAACATGAAAAAAAGAAGCATGGAGGAAGGATAACGAATTACATTATAATAACGGCGATGCCGGAAAAGGCAACAAGGAGTTATCGCTAAATTGTCAGCTTGACCTTCCTGCTATTCCGCCTGCACACCAAACTTCAATCAAGGACAAAGGTGCATGGCGCGAAGCGCCAATGCAGTCTTGTATACATATATATACACAAGACTGCAGTGGCGCTTCGCGCCATGCACCTTGGTCCTTGAAGTTTGGTTTGCTCAAGCCGACAATTTAGCGATAACTCCTTGTTGCCTTTTCCGGCATCGCCGCTATGATAATGATATTCGTTATCCTTCCTCCATGCTTCTTTTTCCTCGGAGGCTCCTCCTGGGAGAGCCTCTGGGGGCCTAAAACAAAAATGTCTCAGGCTTTCGTAAGGCCTTCTGGAGGCCTCCTGGGCGTATTCTGGGGGCCTCTGGGGGCTTCCTCGGGCCACACTGCCTCCAACCACAGTCTCCCTGAACGACCGGGTCACGATTTGGAATGCTTCGGAGGGTGTCTTGGGGCCATCTTGGGCCGCCATGGGGCTCTCTGAGGGCCATCTTGGACCCGTGTTGTGCCGTTTTGGGGCTCTCTTGGACTGCCTGGAAGCCCTTTCGGATGGTTGTGGGGCGATTTTGGAGCCTCCCAGGCGGCTTCGGACGCCCAGAAGACCGCCGTCTTGGAGCGTCGGGAAGCCGAAAAGGGGAGAACCCCCAAATTCACCAAAAACCAACAGGAAATCCATGATTTTTGCCTCTTGGGAGTGCTCTTGGTCGGTCACTCTTGGAGCGCTCTTGCGCTGTCATGGGGGTCTCTGAGACGTCTCCGATGAGCCCCCTGATCGCCCTAGGTGAGCTGGGAAGGCTTGGTAAAACGCCCTGCGAGGGCCGGGGGGCCGCTTCGAGGCCCGTCCGGAGGGTCCCAAAGCCCCAGATCCTGGGAGTCCGGTTTTGAGGGGGGGGGGTGACGGGTTTTCCCCCCGCCCGGGCTTATAAAAATATAAGAAGAGGAATACACATATATATATATATATATATATATATATAGTCGGCGACCTTATTGACGGACTGGGCTCTCACCAATACATGGTAAATAGCTACTTCTCCGCGGCACCCGCCGCGCAACAACAACGACGACGACGACGACGACGACTACGACGACGATTACGACGACGACTACGACCACGACCCGATCATTACGGAGGGGGAGCAGCAGGAGGACGAGGAGGAGGACGAGGAGGAGGAGGAGGAGGAGGATGAGGGGGAGGAGAAGGGCCGGAGTTGATTCCCCGCCGAGAGAAACAGGAGGAGGGGGGGGTCCCACAACGAAAGACCTCCTCGGGTGACTTCGGGTGCCCACTGTTGGGGCCTTGCCTCCCCGCGCCCCCCTGGAGGCCGCGCACCAGCGGCCACTCTGGCGGAGGGCCACCCTCGCGTGCGGTGGGAGCCTCCCGCAGCGCCCGGTGCACGCCCGGCAGCTTCTTCGCCTCCAGGGTCCAACGGGACCGGGGCCCCGAGGCCCAGCTGCCCGCGCTCCCTGCGCCGCCTCCCCTGGGATCCTGGCCTCGCAATTTGTTCGGGCTGGGCGTTTTCACAGGATTTCGGGCAAGGGGTCCCTCACAGATCGATCCGGCTCCAGAAATGAAGCAGCAAATAGGGGTCTAGGGCTCCGGCCGTTACTTTTCACGATTTTTCAGTCTTTTCGCGTCGTCGTCGGATCTTAGGGTTTGATTAGCAATACGAGTGCCCTTAACCCTGTGGGAGGTTGCCAGAGTTTGGAGGGTCAACGCACATAAGGGATAAGGGGGTCTGTCCTGCAAATGTGTCAAATCAAACCGCCCAACACTGCTATCCCGAATGCAAAGACGGGGAACTCAGTGAGGCTACGTCTTCATCGTGTTATCAGGATTGGGGCTTTCTTTATTCTGGATGAGCCTCTGCCCCACCCCCCTCTCCTGGTAACTGGCCACTCAGCGAGGGTCTTTGGGTTTCCCATATTTCGAGTGGTGCATAACACGAAAACCCATGCTGAATGCTTATTTTCCGAAGGCCTACGGGTTTCCCGTCACTCGGGGGGGCGAATTTCGGGAAACCGTGGCCTCGACCCGCGGGGTGTACGGATCATGGGAAACCCTGGGGAGCCCACAAACGACGTACGCGCCCAACCGCATTCATGAACACAGCCCCTCGGTCCGCGAAACCAGCCGCGTGATACGAACGTTCGCGCAGCGCGTACTCTTGAAACCGACGCCGATTCATGTACGTCTTTGAGCAGGGACCGACCGTCCCTGCATTCCTAAAGGCCTACCACGACATGTTCTTAGAACCCAAAACTGTTCCAACAACAGTAACAATGCTCTTAGAACATAAGCCCGATTTGTTAACATTAAAGAGTCTGAGCCAGACATGTTCTAAGAACATTTCGTGCAGACCAGAAACGGTTCTTAGGACATTCTTTGGTGGGCCTATAGGCGAGCCAGGACGCTTCGCCACTGCTTGACGTGTACGTCCTTCTTTCGCTCCTGAGACCCATCGACCTTCGAAAAATAGGTTTGGCGTCCAGAAGCGAGAGGGGGGCGTTGTCGTCGTCGTCGTCGTCGTCGTCGTCGTCGTCGTCGTCGTCGTTCATTGTCGGCGGCACCGGCCGTAAGGCTTCTCCGATAGGTCTGGCGTCCAGGAGCGGGGTGGGGGGGAGGCGCCGCGCTGCTGTGCGCGGCGAGGCGTGGCCCATGCCATCGCCAGGAGCTGCCAGGGGCTCCCGAGGGAAAAGAGCCCCACGGGGCCCTCGGGGTCTCTCCCCAGTGGGGCCCTTGGAACTGCCCCCCCCCCCGTCACGTTACGTGAGGGTCCGATCGAACAGAGTTCGGCCGCCATGTGGGTCACGGACTGGAGCTGAAAAGGGGGAGGGAGAAGGAGGAGGAGGAGGAGGAGGAGGAGGAGGAGGGATAATAATGTGAGCATAGAAGAGCGCCGGGCGAATGTTGACATATGTGCCCCCATCCTGAAGTGCCCTCGGTATTTCCAAAAAGGCCCCCACGGCCTCCAGAACACCCCTCAAGAAACCCAGATGGGGCCCCATGGGGGCTCCAAAACATAACGAAATGCTGGGGGCACCATGGGGCGGACACCTTCAGCAACACCCGACTGGGGCCCTTTGGGGCTTTCCCTGGTGCCTTCCGGGGGGGCCCCCGGGCCCCGTTCCCACAGAACACACTCTGGCTGGTGCCAGCGTCAGAGCGCAACGGAGAGAGGGGAGGGAGAGCCCCTCGGTAGTCACTCATTTACGGTTGTTGGCGTCGCCTGCGATGGCAGGAAAGGGCGGTCGGAAGGAGATGTGGGGAAGGAGAGGATTGATAAAGGATTCGATAGAGGATCCCTTTTCCTCCTCCTCCTCCTCCTCCTCCTCCTCCTCCCTCCTTCTCTTCTTCCTCCCCTCCCCCTTCAATGCACCTCCCATTCCTCCAGCCGCTTCCCCTCATCCACCCTTTCCCTCCTTTCTTCGTCCTGCTCCTCCTCCTCCTCCTCCTCCTCCTCCTCCTCCTCCTCCTCCTCCTTCTCCTCTCTTCCGCATCGCGATCTCGCGTCTCCCTCGGAGCCACGCCCCTCGCCCGCCGCGGGCGCCCGAGGCCGGGGCCGGGGAAGGCCCACCCTTTTTCTGGAGAGGGGAAACGGGTCAGGAGGCCGTCCGAACTAACATCGTACACCTCCTGAAGTCATCGGTGCGAGGGGGGGGGGACGAGCGGCGTAGCCACTCAGTCAGGGAATTCGTAAATCTCGCAGACGGCGTACCTTGCTAGTAACGTTGTACATGGAATGCGTTGATTTCACGCTGATGACGTAGTACTAGCGTCTGTTTCCTGCGATACTGATACACCTGGCATCGGACTGTACCCGGCTGGCTTCAGGCAGGCCGGTCTCGCCGTTGTGGTCACGTTCGTGTTATGCTCTACGCCATCTTGGCGAACATCGCATCGAACAGCGTTTCGTGCTGGAACACGTCGAGGAATCATTCGGTTGCCTCAGGCTGGCCCTCCGCGGATCCGACGTCGTACAACGCTCGAGCACGTAATCGTTTTGCAGCAAGTTGTAATACCCGGAAGCTGGGGCCCGACCTTTGTGCATCTTGCCGAGCCTTCTCTGGGAGCCCTTGCCCTAGATATCCAGGCTACCTGTCCTGACTCAAACCTGGCCTGTTCCACATCGATATACCCATGGCTCGGCATGTACATCAAACGGTTCTAAGACTCCCTCTTAGCCGTTCGGCCTTGCCTGGAGCCCCACGAAGCGCACGCGGCATGGACCTCGTGGTTTAGCTGGTCGTCCTCGTAGCCCTGCTTGTGGCCCTCGAAGCTCATATCGCGGTCGTCTTGTCTCTTCATGTGGCTCTCGTAGCTAGCTCTGCGTGTGGTCATCGTAGCTCAGCTCGTGGTCCTCGGAGGTCCGCTGGTGGACCTTGTAGCTCAGCGTGTGGTCATCGTTGTTCATCTGGTGTCCCTCGTAGATCTGCCAGAGGTTATCGTAGGTCCGCCTGTTGCCCTGGTAGCTCAGCTGGTGGCGCTCGCAGCTCAGCAGGTGGCTCTAGCAGCTCAGCCTGCGACCTTCGCAACACTGCAGGTAGCGCTCGTACCTCAGCTGGTGGCCTTCGGGGCTGTGCTTGCGGCAGTCGTAGCTGAGCTTGCTGCCCTCGTGGTTCAGCAGGTGGTTCACGTAGTTGTGCTGGGAGCTCTCGAGGCTCTCTTCGGAGCTCTTGTCATTCAGCTGGTGGCACTCGTAGCTCTGCTGGCGGATCTCGTAGCTTGACTTGTGTTCCGCGCATCTCTTCTCGAGGCTCTCGCTGCTCAGCTGGTGGCTCTCGCAGCTCAGCCGAAGGTCCGCGTGGCCCTGCGTGTGGCCCTTGCACCCCGGCTTGTGGCCCCCGGTGTTCAGGTGGTAGCCCTCGTAGCTGAGGTGGAGGTTCTCGGAGGTGAGCCTGTGGCTCTGGTACCTCCGCTGGGGGCTCTCGTAGCTGAGTGTGGCCCTGGTAGCTCCTTAGGTGGCTCTCGCAACTCAGCTGGTGCCTCCGGTCGCTGAGCTGGTGTTCTCGCAGCTCTTTTCGGAGTTCTCGTAGCTCAGCTGGTGGCACTCTCGGTGAAGCTGGTGGTCCTCGTTGCTCTGCCTGTTGCCCTTTTTGGCTGGTCTTGCGGCCCTCGCAGCTCAGCTGATGGTCCTCGTGGGCGTGCTTGTGGCCCTCGCCGTTGAGCTTGCGATCCTCGTAGCTCTAAAAGTTGCTGTCGTAGCTGTGCCTGTGATCCTCGTCATTCATCCTGAGGTCCTGCTAGCTCAAACGGTCGTCCTACTAGCCTTGCTGGTGGCTGTCCTTCTTCTGCTTGTGGGCATCGTAGCCCTGCTTGCGGCTCTCGTAGCTCAGCTCATGGATCTCGTACTTCTGCCTGTGGCTCTCGAAGCTGCGCGGCTATTGTTTTATACCAGTTGGGGGTCGTGCTTCGTGGCGTTTTGGCTGCGTGGCCTTGGAGTTCTTCTGGAAGTTCTCGTACTTCTGCTGGTCGTTGGGGCGCCGCTGGTCCTCGCTGCGGAGCTTGGATGCCTTCCTCGCATTCGCACGCCTGGCCCAAAAAGTAATCGAAGAGTGCGCCCACCTGCACGTCATTCTGGACGTCGCAATCCACGAGGTCATGGTCGGAACCCTCGGCTGCCAAGTCGTGGTGTTCCACGTTCTGGGTGCCAGCACCATGCAAGAGATCGTGCTGGTCACGCGCAGGTCGCCCAGTAGGTGGCCCTGGTGCCACAACTGGTGGTCCTCGACGCTCGGCTGGTGGTGCTCGAAGCTTTGCTGGTGGGCCACGGAGCGCAGCTGGTGGTTCTCGCAGCGCTGCTGGTGGCCATCATAGCACAGACAATGGTTTTGAGGGCTCTGCTTCTTGCCCTCGTGCCTCTGCTGGTGGTCACGTCGCGTAGCAAGTTGCTCTGGTAGCTCTGCTTGTGAAGCTCGTAACTCTGCTTGTAGCCCGTGCAGCTCAGGTGGCAGGATGACGAAACCGTATGCTGTGCCTTCGTCTTCGTAGCAGTCGTACTCGCCGTGCCCGTTATTTGCGTCGCAATCGTACTCTTCGTAAGCGGCGCGGCCGTTGTCCACCGGTACATCCACGACGACGTACTTGGTAACCCCTTTGGGCGGCTCGGTTGTGTCCTTCCTGGTGTCGGTATTGCTGGTGTACTTGGTGTCGTCATAATGATGGTTCTCGTCCTCGGGCTGCCACTTACGCAGCTCAGTCTCGTAATTGGGCTGCCTGTTGCGCAGCTCGTTCTCGTACTTGGGCTGCCTGTTGCGCAGCTCGTGCCTGGACGCCCTCTCGAAGGCGGTCGTAGCAATGATACCGAAAACGTCGGACCGAGGCTGTATCCCATGTCGAGCGTTGTGGCCCACTCGTTTTTGGGCCGCGTCCGTTCGCATCCGTGTTCCTCTGTGCGTGTGTGGTCTCGGCGTGCTTGGCGATGGGTTTCCACAAAGGTGCCAATGTGGGTAGGTATCGTAATTGTCAGCTATGTTGAAGGTATCCGCCTTGTGAATCAGCAACAAGTTGTTGATCACCTTCGTGCCATGGCGGCGCCCCCTGACCACGGCCGCGATTAGAGGACTGAGGCCGAACCGCCAGGCGCGCGGCGCGCGCGCGGGCGAGTGTGGGGACGGATCCCGCATATGGCCTTCCTCCCCCTCCTCCTCCTCCTCCTCCTCCTCCTCCTCCTCCTCCCCGTCCTGCTCCCTCCATCATGGAATTGGAGCCCTCATCGGACCCACATGGAGGAGGAACATGCGGCGGCTAGCAGCTAGCGGCTAGGGGCTTGCCTCGATGGCAAAATCCCTGACCAAGCCTCAGTAGCCCTACCCCACCAAAGGGTGGACAAAAGGGATACAACAGGAGGATGCGCCAGGCAGGAGGACGGACGGATGAGACGGATGAGGGAGAGAAGGAAGGAAGGGTGGAACAGGCAGAGAAGGGGAAGGACAAATGATGAAACTCGCTCCCCTCTCCTCTCCCCTCCTCGTCCTCGTCCTCGTCCTCGTTCTGATTCTCGTCCTCGTCTGATGTTTGACGTCTGCCGTCTGTCGTCTGTCGGCGTCGTCGTCGTCGTCCTCCTCCTCCTCCTCTTCCCTCTTTCCTCTCCCGGATTCCTTGTCGTCCTCCTCCTCCACCTCCTCCTCCCTCTTCCCTCTCCCTGATTTCTTGTCGTCGTCCTCCTCCTCTTCCTCCTCCTCCTCCGCCTCCTCCTCCTCTTCCTCCTCCTCCTCTTCCTCGCTCCTTCCTCCTCCTCCACCTCCTCCTCCTCCTCCTCCGCGCTCCTTCCTCCATTGTCCCTCGTCCTTCCCCTGTTCTTTCCCACCCTCTCCCTCTTCTCCTCGTCCACCTCTTCATCCTCCTCTTCTTCTTCCTCCTCCTCCTCCTCCTCCACCCTCCCTTCGAGGAGGGCCAGGGCCCAATGCGGCGGAGCTTCGGGGCGCCCCGGGATAGCCGTACTCGTGGGGGGCGGGCGCGACCGCGACCACGCCGGCGGCGCCTGGCAAGCGAGAGGCGAAAAGGGATGCGGGATGGGTGGGGAGGGGGAGGGGGGAGAGTAAAAGGCGGGAGGGAGAGGAGAGGCAAGGAGGAGGGAGGAGAGGGGAGGGAAGAAGAAGACTCGGCACTGCGCGTGGTCTCAGCGTTGGCCTGCTGATCGCAAAGTGTCGGGCGTGGGCAGAAACTTACATCGCACGATAGTGTGCAGAATACACGACGTGACGGGCATCGCGCACCGTGAGAAGGGAGAGAAGGCGGAGGAGGAGAAGGAGAGACGGATAACAACAAGAACTAGGGGGAATCTCGGAGCGGCGAGGCGCTCCTCTTCCTATTCCACTTCCTCCTCCTCCTCCTGTTACCCACCCTCTTCTCCCTTCTTCGGTTTGCCCTTCCTTCCTTCCTTCCGTCCGTCCTCCCTCTTACTTTCTTTATTGCTTCCTTGCTTCCTTCCTTCCTTCCCTCCTCCCGCACTGTGACCCATTCTCCTTCAACCTCCTCCTTCTCCCCTCTTCCCCTCGTCCTCTTCGTCGTCCTCCTCCTCCTTCTTCTACTCCTCTTCCTCCTCCTCTTCCTCCTCCTTCTCCTCATCCTCCTCCTCCTTCCCCTCCCCCACCTCCCCCATCTCCTCGTCCTTCCCATCCTCCTTTTCCTGTTCCTGTCGCTGTAGCTGAGGCTGTCGACTTCGGAATTCGGATCGAACGCAGCCATCTCCTTCTTTTATTCTTCCTTCCTCCTCCCTCTCCTCCCTCCCGCTCCCTCTCCTTCTCCTCCTTCTCCTCCTCCTCCTCCTCCTGGTCCTCCTCCTCCTCTTCCTCCATCCGTCCGTCCCTCCTTCCCTCCTCCCATCTCTTCCTCGTGCTCCACTTCCCCTAATCCTCCTACCTTCTCCTTCTCCTCCTCCCCTCCTCTCCCCCCCTGCCTTCCCCCCCCGTCCTTCCTCCCCCTCCTCCCTCCTCCTCCCCCTCCCCTCCCCTTCCACCTCCTCCTCTTCTTCCAACGTCCCAGCGTCCCTCAATCCCTCCTTCCCTCCTCTCATCTCTTTGTCTTGCTCCTGTTCCTCCTAAACCTCCTACCTTCTCCTCCTGCTCCCATCTCGTCGTCGTTGTCCCTCCTCCCCCTGAATTTCTTGCTTTCTGTCCTTCCTCCCTCGCCTCGCCCCATCCGGCTTCCTTATACATGACTCCTGATTGTCGCACCACTCCAGGCTGGTCGAAAGGGCGGGCAGGGCTTTTCGCCTGAGACCTCCTCACCAAATACGGTCCTGATGCAACAAATTCAAAGACGGGGGGGCGGGCAGCTTTCAAAATGTGTCCCTCGCCTTTGGGCCGCGCACATTCGTCTTAAAAGTTCACGAGATCTTCATGGATGGAGGGCGGTCCGCTTTCAACATGTGACCCTCGCCTTGGCGAGGCGCATATTCCTCTTCAGAGGTGGCAGCAGTTTCAAATATTATTGAACGTGCCAGAGATGTTGTGTTGGCACGGTGCCACAATGCCAGGACGCAACAGTCACGTTGATTCGCGGTGTTGAAGTCCCAAGGCTGGCGCTCTGGTGCGATTCAGGACCATCAAAACGCATCAATGACAGAGTTTCGCGCACAATTGTTGTGGTACAGTTCCGATGTTCTCAAACGGTTGTCTTTCACAACGGGGCACTGCCTTGAGTGAATATGAAGCTTCGAGGGGCCTCTGACGAGGGAGCTTGGGAAGAAGATATATTCCAATACCGATAGGACCACCCTGCGGGTGATAAGGAGGTTGGGGGGGGGGGGAAGGGGGAGGCGGTCGATGAGCGATGGCTCTGGGTTCTTTGGTGGTTTCTTGGACTTGTTCCTTGTCGCGCACATCTGCCCATCTATCCATCGACCTACCTATCTTAGGACAACCAGCCATCTCTCGCTGTATCGATCTATCAGTCGATCAGCCTATCAATCAATAAAGACATATCTCCATGTATCTACCTATACGACCACCCTTCGGGTGATAAGGAGGTTGTGGGGACCAACGTCTGACTCAATCGATCTCACTATCGATCTCACTCAACGGGACACCACGGGACACCGTAGGACACCGCGGGACACCTCTCGATCTCACTGTCGGTCTCACTATCGATCTCACTCAACAGGACACCATAGGACACCACGGGACACTTCGAGACACCTGTCGATCTCACTATCGATCTCACTATCGATCTCACTTTTGGGACACCACCGGACACTACGGAACACCTCGGGGCACCACATCGATCTCAGAATCGATCTCAGTATCGATCTCAGCATCGATCTCACTCAACGGGACACCACGGGACACCACGGGACACCGCGGGACACCGCCGGACGGACGGACGGATGGGCGGGCGGGGGAGAATCATTTGTCTTGACTTCGCCCTAGCATCAGCGGACACCACGGGACACCACGGGACATATACACACATATATATATATATACATATATGCATATTCCATATGTTTATATATGTATCGATGTATATATATATATATATATATATACATATATGCATATCCCATATATATGTACATATATGTCTACCTATCTACCAACCATCGGGACAACCATCGGGACAGCCATCGAGATAACATCTAACAAGATTTATCAATCTACATATCTATCTATCTATCAACCATCGGGACAACCATCGGGACAACCCTCGGGACAACCATCGAGGCAACCAACGGGACAACCATCTGGACAACCGTCGGGACAACCACAACCATCGCGACAACCGCCGGGACAACAGGGGGCCACGCCTGGCGCTCGGGGGGCGGCCCGTTTGGCAATCTATGGCCTCTACTATGGATGGAACTCGCGCAACTTCGCCTCGCCCGCACGCACGGCACGAACCGAAACCGAAACTGATTTCCCGGTTGGGTCACTTCCGTTCCAACCCCCCCAACCTCCGATCGTTGATGAGTCTTGGGTTTACAGTGGTCCTCCTCCTCCTCCTCCTCCTCCTCCTCCTCCTCCTCCTCCTCCCCCTTCCCCTTCTTCCATTCTCTCCGACGCTCCTCCTCCGCCTTCGTCCTCCTGCTCTCTCTTCCTGCACTTTCTTCACCCGTAGCCTTCTCCTCCCATGCAATATGCCTCTCAACCATGTGGCTTGTATCTGAGCATCGGGGCACGGCGAGAGCTCGAGCAACGGATAACCCAGTCGTCGCTCTCGACTTGACTCGTCCTACACTTGATCGAAGCCTCCCACCCTCCTGCCCTCCTCTGCCCTTTCTCCTTCTCCCCCATCATCCTGCCTGAGCGGGTCCTCCCTCTCTGTCCTCTTTCCAACTTTCCTCCCTCCATTCCTCCCCGTAGAGGCATCCTACACGATGAAAAGGTGTCGGGCTATTGTACCACCCTCATTCCCGGCAAATCTGAGTTCTAAAGAACGCCTGCGTCGCCCGAACACTGTTTGCGAAAAACAAATTGTTTCACTTTCATTCTGGGCCACAAGACGAGGCCAATTATTCCGAATCAGTACGTGCCCTGCAGGAAGTAAGCGCCACGTAAAGCCTGGCGACGACGACGACGACAACGACGACGACGACGGCGACCCACAGACGAACGAAACTGCGGATGCCCGATAGGGGGGGTGGGGTGGTGGTGGGCGGGTGGGTGGTCGCGGAAATGAAATGAAATGTTCAGCGCAAATCGCATTCCGCATTTTCGTTGGCACGCGGAGGGAGGGTGGGTGTCGAAGACAAGGCCGCAGACAATGCCAACACCGCATTCTGTAACTTTTTGATTCCGCGGAGGGAGGGTGGATGATTCTTGTTTAAAGGGAACGTCTCCCCACGAGGCGCGCTGGCCGCAAGGTTGGTGGGTGCAGAAAGATCCAGCAAATCTTCCCCGGGAGTCCGCTGGGGGAGGACGTAAAGGCACCCGACCCCCTCGTCCTACATGGGGTCGGAGTAGACTGGGTCGGAGGATTGCGCCGCATCGCGAATGCATCGCCGATGCATCGGCAACGTCGGCGGTGCATCGGCGCCGTCGGCGTGGAGAAACTCGGGCGCCAGATCGAGCCGCATCGGTGGTGCATCGGCGATGCGGCGCGATCCTCCGACCCCGTCTACTCCAGCCCCATCCGGGAGGCCAAAGCTCCTCCCCCCTCCCTCCCTCCCCCTGCTCCCCCCTTCTCCCTGCTCCCTCCTCCTCCCTCCCTCCTCCTCCTCCTCCTCCTCTTACCTGCCTGCGGAGGAAGGGCCTCCTCCTCCTCCTCCTCCTCCT